AACCTGTGCACACACCCCATCGCTTATAGCCAATGCAATGTAAGTACTATGTTAATAGTTGTTAAACTATTGCTTAAGGAATAATGTCCCAGATAAAAGTGTACATGTTCAGTGCAGAGAATTTTATTTTTTTCAAATATTTTCAATCTGCATTTTATGCATATAGATGATGGGGAGAAATGGATAATCAATTCCGATGTATTTATTATAACATACAATGACTATAGTAATAAATGCTAGGAAGAAGAGACAGGGGAATAATGTGACACAACTTAACTTAGTGACAGTTCTAGGACAGGCCTTTCTGAAAGATGATTGTTGAGTTGGAGCCTCAGTGACACAAAGAGGCCAAAGACACCGAGATCTGGGGCAAGGAAAGGAGAGCACACCAAGCATATAGGGGAGCCTGACATGGGCAAGAGCTGGGCCTGGTTTGAGAGAAATAGAGGCATGTGGCTTGTCTAGCAAGCCAGGAGCAAGTAGCTGAGAGGAGGCTGAACCTATGAGGCCTGTAGATCACAGAGCATCTTGTCCTGATTCTGATTATACCAGGAAATCTTCAGATGGTTCAAACTGAGTTCCTGTGTGATGCGATTTCTGCTCTCAAACAGAGTGCTCTATGGAAAACTGGACAAGAATAAAAGAAAGACAATTTAGAAGGCCCTGATGAGAAGTTTGCAAGAGCCCAACTACTTTGGCAGCCATTGGTGTGTGGTTAGGAAAACAACAAATTAAAACAATTATAAATTTACTTAGGAATTCCAAAAATGTCTGAGTGAATTTGGGCAACTCAAGAGAAACTTGTTTTTAAGGTTGTATCTTAATCAGTAATACAGATTTGCCTGGGCTTATGGGCAAGGAAACTAAATACCCCATAATGGCATAGGAAGGCAAGAGCCTACTCCATTAAACCAGGGACACTGAACACTTAAAGAAAGCAGATAAAGTAGAGTTTTTCTTAAGAAAAGGAATAAGGAGATCCTGGTTGGCCCTAAGGTTTAGCAGGATAATGCACACTTGCCCAGATCTGTCACAAACACCAAGTACAACCAAACAAGGATTTATCTCAAAAATATCATGCAATGAAACAATCTTACACAAAAATGCAGTACTGTGTGATTCCATTCATATGAAGTTCCAAGTGGGCTCCCTGGGAGGGGGTGTGTAGGGTGATGATACACAAGTGTATGCATTTGGTGAAATGCATCAGATGCTGCACTTCAAACTTACCTTCTCACAGTTTGTGAATGATTCCTCATAACAAAAAATCAACTATGTATGTTGAATTATAGTGAGGGATATGCCAATGTGAAGATCAATAATATTTGTATCTTATTTGTAAATGCATCCAGAGAATCAAATGGATACCTCAAATAGATACATAATAAAGTGAATATAGAAAAATGCTAAGATAAGGATGTTCATGGTTTAATTCTTTTAGCTTTTATATGTATTTATAAATCTTTATAATACAGTTTGAGGAAAAAAAGCTAAGTGCTTTGAAGCCCTGAATCACAGGACCTGTTGTTCTAGATTCAGTAGCATTTGTGCTCAGGTTTGCAGGAGGTATTGCAAACCACTAGCATTTTATGGAGCTTGATACACTTTTAATTGTTGGGTTTTCAAATGAATAGACCTAAAGTGATACAAATATTCTCTTTGAATAAATCGCTTAAATATCCAATCTTAAATGCGTATTTTTAAGAGACTCTTAAAGTACAATGTGTTCCTTTTGCTTTCATTTTTTATTTTCTGATCTGATAAACATTCCACAAAGTAGAATAACATTTGAGTACAGTGATCCACAGATACAAATATCTCCAGTTTAGAGAATAACAGGGTAGTGTATACTGACTGAGTTATCCTAATATCTGTCCAGATACATGTTATATTATTGTCACGTTCTCACCAGTTAACTTTACTAAAAGAGAGTTGAAAGATCTATCTGCTCATTCAACTTTCAAAATGATTCTGGGAGATCAATATTATTTTTTATCATTTTTGTGTTTGAAGAATGCATAGCTCAGAGAGGTCAGGGAAGTATTCAAGGTCACACAATAAGGAAGCAGCTAAACAAAAGCGAACGTTCTCCTGGCTTAATTGAAAAGCTCTTGCTACAGGTTGGGGATTTAGCTCAGTGGTAGTGTTTGCCTAACAAGCTCAAGGCCCTGTGCTTGGTCCCCTCCTTACAGTTTTATCTTAAATCTGCCTAACTAAGGTATGATTATTATTTTTTAAATAATTTTATTTGCATCAGTGATCTCACATTGAAGTTTTCCCATGGGTAATGTGAGATATTTGGTATAAAGATAGAGCCAAGATTACACTTTGTTTCAATTAGGATACCTAGAGCAATTCTTCATGTGTGCAAGGGTGCATGTGTATGTGTTGTGGTGTGAGGGTTTGAACTCAGGGCGTTAAGCTACACCCTTGTTTCTCAGTAGTTTACTTTGAGCTTTATCTTAGATTTTATTTATATGCTGTGATCTCCGTTGCATATACAGGAGGAGAAAACCTGAGAAGAAACACCCTTAATGATTTCTTTGGAACTTGAGTCATCAGCTCTAGGATAATATTCAATCAATTAGTTTATCAACTGCTTTACCTTATTCTAAAGCATTAGACCTATTGGGCAGTTGGGAATTTAGGTTTCTGTGCAGTTTTTTTTTTTGTCACATTAAAAAATAAAGAACAACTGTCTACATGAAGCTTTTTCAATAGTTTAGTCTATTTCCTTACAATAGGGTTTCCAAAGTGGAATCATGATAAAGAATTTAAGCTTATTTATATATTTATACAAGTTGTCCAGTTACTTCTGTAGAGTGTACGTCAATAATATGCAATGTTGCTAATATCTCCCAATACAGAATCTTTCTGAATATAAAAGCAATTCATCTTAATTGTAGGTAACAAAGGGCTAAGTATTCATAAATAAGTACTTCAGGTGTTCATTTAGCATTTTTTGAATAAATGAATGAAAAGTATAGACTTTTGTATTTTTTTCTATAATGCACTAGTCTTAAATGGCATATTTTCCTGACAAAATTTACCTACCTCTAGGTTTAATGATGAAAACAACTCTTAGGGTTCAGCTGAAAGCAATGTCTTTTGTTGTCTTCCCTCTGTATACTGAAGAAACCCTTCCTAAACCTGCTCCAGCCCTAGGCTCCAGTGGACTCCACTCACCTAGCTGACTTGAACAGCATGGCTGACACTTATGGGGACCTAGAGCATGGCTAATCAGTAGAATTCAAGTAGAGGCCCTTATTCATTACATCAGAAAGCAGCTGTCGTTCCATGATGTGTTGACTAAAAGGGTCACGTTATTGTCCTTGCACCTACATCTGTTGTGGTATCTGTAAGGACCTAGAATTGCTACGTCAGTTTGGCTCTATCTGCCTGTGTAGAACAGTTGAACAACAGTTCCAAGTTGACATGATTACCTAGGAGCATTTGTTCCTGGGTGAAAACAGATCAGAGACATTGGATCAAGCCAAATGGATGGACGAATTATAGAATTATCCTGTCTCTGCAGATTGGAGGTATGGATTCTATCTTGTCAACTTTAACAATTCCCATATAAGAATCCTGTCTACCACTGAATTTGAATGAGAATATCAGAGGGGAGAAAAGGGAAATCCCCATAGAGTTAAAGAGGTTGTGAGGATTGCTTCATAGTTAATGTTTGTATAAATGCCTGGGGTTTGATTATGTGGTGTCTGAACATGTGCTCATTGCTGTGGTTCCATCAAGCAAGGGCAGACAGATGATGCTCTTAGAATAATTCCCATGGGGAGAGAACAAAGAAGCCTATAAAACAGAAATGCATATTTGAAAAAGAGACCCTGGAGAAAGTACCAGTGTATTGACTTTGGCCACTTTTTGTGCACTCCCACCTGTTTACTGATACTGTTCAGGTAGCACCTTTACAGACAAGGAAGGACTTGGCCAGGTCTGAATTTGACATCCAAAGCCAGAGGCCATATTTCTTCACTCTTAGGATAATTTTGGTTCAAAGTGTAATACTTTAACAGGCTTCCTGCTTCAAAAGCCCCAAGCCTCTTTGTTTTGTTATGCTTGCCTAAACATGTCTTTGAAAGAGCAAGGTTTGTAAATATCACTTTTTATACTGCTCTCCTTTACTTTTAAATATAGACTACCAACTGCATTTCTATAGTCAACTTTGGCCTCAGATTTAAATGTTTGCTCAGATTGAGTTTGGTATACTGGTACATGAAGAGTGAAGAGTAGCAAGGTTGTACCCACACCTGGGTATACAAGGCCATTGTCCCTATACCTGAACCTGTGCTAAGTGGATTAACATTTAGTGAGCCAGAGAAGAGGGTGTGTTGGTTTCTCACTAACTGAGTGTTTTAAAGTGTTTTGTTATTTTTCTAACTGTTTTATAATTAGAACTTTGATTCACTGTTTGATGCATTCCATTAGAGGAATATTTTTAATCTCTGGTCAGTTGGGTTTTTAAATTACACACTTGTTCGTTGACTTTAGATATACAATGTTGTAGTAAGAAAATATTGCCTAGGGTATGCTATGTTTGTAAACATTCTTTGCACACACAATAATGTAACAGGCTGGTTTTATGTAGAGTAAAATGTTCATTGTATAGTTATTCACTCACCTTACAACTGTATCATCTAGGTGACTTTGATATTTATCTTTGTATACTGGAGCCCTTAACACAATCTTACCATAAAGACTTACTTAGAATTTTGATCTCTTCCCCTTGAATATTTAATGTCTTTTCATTGTATATTTTAATATAATGTGATTGCATGAATCATAGGGATGAGCCCTCTGTTATTATGGATTACACCTCCTATAAACTTTAACATATCTTATCATGTGTGCCTTGCATGTCCTTTGATCAGAGTTGGTGTTGTAAGTCACTGACGCTCACAAAGCTGGTGAACACTGTTTTGTTGTAGTTTTGCTCCTTTCCTCTGTGTTTCCTGAGAAACCTCTTTTCCTCTTTGTTCCAGTTTGCCAAGGCACAAGTAACAGGCTCACCCAACTGGGCACTTTTGAAGACCACTTTCTGAGCCTGCAGAGGATGTTTAATAACTGTGAAGTAGTCCTTGGGAATTTGGAAATTACCTACGTGCAAAGAAACTATGACCTTTCCTTCTTAAAGGTTAGTTCAATGAATGTGGTTGTCCTACCCAAATATAATAGAATTGAATATGAGTAGATAAAGGCCTTTGTAAAATTTGACTTAAGTGTTTACTTTTCTTACAGCAGTTCTAAAGAACTACAGGTGAGAGTTTTATGAGATGGCCACTGTACCAGCTCCAGTCAGGTTATAGCTGTTAAAAAAAAAAAAGCAGAAGCAGGGTGCCCTGGCATTCCGCTATCACATGTCACAGGCATTAAACCTAGCTATTGTTGCAGCCAGAGTGTATTGGTATGCCAGGTTTTTAAAAAATAATCATAATAAAAATATAAGTCTTCCTCTGTAGCATTACCTATGTTGTTACAAATTTTCACACCATAGCAGATTTTAAGCAATCAAGAGTTTACAACCAATTCACAAAATTTCTCAGTATTTAACAGGAGACTCTAGCAAGTCAGTAGGAGCAGCTTTGAAGGCCTCAGAGTTTGGTCTGGAGGTAGTTGAGCTTTGATTTGTTTTATGTGGCCTTCTTCTGGCAATCTTTCTTTTTTATTTCCTCCTTTCCTTCCTTCCTTCCTCCCTCACTCCTTCCTTCCCTCCCTCCCTTCTTGTCTTCCTTCCTTTTTGTAAGAAATTGTGTAAAGTAGTTGTTCTATCTCCATTTCCATTGTGTGTGTTGCACAAGTAGAGGAGTTACAATGTGTAACTGATGCACATTGGTCTTTACTGCAAATACATATTCCAAATGCAGAGTGGAGGAATCATTCCGACTCCTGTCCCTCCCTTTCCCTTGGTGTAGTTGTCTACATGCTTCACATTTGTGAACCACTCCTTTCACGTTATCGTGCAGTTAGGTGTCCTGCATCCTCTGGACCTTGGTTTCTCAAATTGCTCAAAAGACAAATAACATGATCTTGTTTTGTCTCCCTAGACCATCCAGGAGGTTGCTGGCTATGTCCTCATTGCCCTCAACACAGTGGAGAGGATTCCTCTGGAAAACCTGCAGATCATCAGAGGAAATGCACTCTATGAAAACACCTATGCCCTAGCCGTCCTGTCCAACTACGGGGCAAATAAAACCGGGCTGAGGGAATTACCCATGAGGAACTTACAGGGTGAGAGGCGGATGTCAAGGGAGGGTAACAATGCAGATAGTAATTCTGATGGCACTTGGCAAATCCGTCACTTTTGTTGGTTCCACCTCAGAGAAGACTTTTATTCATCAAACACTCATGTATTGAGTGCCAGCTGTGTGCAAATCCAGCAGGTAGAAGTAAGAAAGAAGATGGCAGAAGTGCAACAAAAAGGGAAGATTCCAGCCAGGCACTGGTTTTATCATGGGTGAGGAAAAAAATTCCAGAAAGGTAGTAAGAAATGACATAGACTCTGGATAAAAGAATATCATCAGTTGACCTGGACTGGAATGGAGAATTTATGTAGAGAGTGAGTATACTGCCAGCCTTATGAGTGGACCTCATGCAGAAAGAGCATCCAGTCATCCCCTGGTCCTCTGTAAACGCGTGCTAACCCCAGCTGATATCTGAAACCTCAGTAGTACCAAAACCCATATATACTATGTTTTTGTCCTATACATATATGCCTATGATAGTTTAGTTTATCAACCGGGCACATAAGACATGAACAACAATAAGGAATAATAATGTAGAATAATTATATCAGTGTACTATAATAAAAGTCACATGTTACCTCTCTCACAATATCTTACTGCACTCTGATAATTTGGTCTATGCTTGACTATGATAGCCAAATATGTAGAAGCCACCAATCAGGGCTGGCCTATTGTCCCTTTAAATCCTGTCCACGTTTGAGATGGTTTGAAAAGTAGTGCTTTTACACAGCAGTGTGAGTTAAACACAAAGAGGGAAGATTTTGTAGAATTCTTGTGTGTAGGATACTTGGGAGCTCCCATGAGAGGAAACTGTGGGAGATGGTAGAAAAGGAAAGGTTAAATCAGTTTAAAAAAACCCTGAAGGTAACAATTGTTCCCCCATGATGTGGCAGGCCTGTTAAATTAGTAACTTCTCTTAATGCCAACAGCTTTCCTTTAAAGCAGATGTTGTAACCTATTGTTTTACAATAAAGAAATGGCAGTAAAGTTCCTTTCTCAAGGCTCTATCCTAGTGAAAAGAGAGCCAGGATGGCCCCCAAATCTGCCCCACAAACCATGCTATCCCCTCCTCCCTGTGGTTCTAATGAGAAGACTAGGCTGAACAGGAAAAGGAAAAAGGATGAGGTGAAAAGAAGGGGTTCGGGATAGAGGGAGCCTGGTCAGAATGCCAGAAGCTTCTCAAGTATGCAGAGTAAGCCACATTTCCAAAGCCAAAGAATGGAACCATCCTGGTGCTCACCTCTCTGGCTCTCTGGTTAACCACTCTATTATCCCTTAAGAATTCCCACCTACCATTTTGACAGGTCAGAGCACTCACGCACATGTTGCTGTGTTTATGCTACACTCCTCTCATTTATACACACATTTTGTGAAATGGCCTGTTACGAAGTTTCTGTATGCCTCACTCTACCTGACTTGCCTCACGTGTGTCATGACACCAAGCAGCAGCAGGTGTGAGTTGGGCTCCAGGAGCCAGACTGTCTGAGTTCCAGCCCTGCTCCCTCACTCACCAACCAGATGACTCTGGAGCACTAGATGACTCTCTGGGTCTCAGTATTCTTGCTTCAAAACTGTGAGTCACATATTCATGTTGTTGAGAAAATTAAGTGAATTACTATAGGTAGCAGCTCTTTCAGTGGTCCTTGGTGTGTGTGTGTGTGTGTGTGTGTGTGTGTGTGTGTACAGTGCTAGGATAGAACACAGGGCCTCACCTACGTTGAGAAGGCACTCTACCACTGGGCCACTCCCCAGATCAATTTTTATTCAACCAAGGTTGAGGTTCTACTGATCCAGATAATTTAATATTAATAATGAACCTGATGCCTGCCCTAAAGTGAGCACTCATTAAATGTTGAAAGTAAATATAAAAGATTGACTGCTTTTGCCTGCCTTTCCTTTCTAAGTTATAAGGAGGTGACTCTTGGTATCCCCTTCATCTTGCTGTACTCTGCTTCTCACAAATGCTGACCATTAGTGTTCTATAATGACCCATCTTTGACTCTGCCATCTCTACTTCCTTTATTGTTCCTCTGTCTCTTGTCCTCATCGTCACTGTAGCCTTGGTGGCCTTATCCTGTGTTTCTATACCTGAATGCTCATTAGTTTTGTCTACTCATGAGTGTTTTCACTCAGATGCCCTGCTGTCACCTCTGGCTTTCCACATCAGTTTGGGCCTTCTTCCTGCAATCCTTTTATTCTCCACCAGCCACTGAGGAAACTGTCCACCTTTCCCCACTCTGTGCCTTTGCTCTGGGTCTTGTCTACAAGATGCCTTCAGCACTCTCATCTCTTTATTATTCTAAAATATGTGCCTGAACATGTGGGAAATCTCATTTCTTCTATTGGCCCTCAAGGACTTCCTGGGAGAGTCCTTCCTTTATCATGTCAATACTCTGTGCACATGGTACATCAGTTCCTTACCTGTGGGATACTGAATGTCATTTAATATATCTAAGGTTGTTTTTTTTCCCATGTTTAAGTGCTAGTCATTGGACCATTGTGAGGATTAATGAAAACAATGCCTATGCATCAACCAGCCGTTCTGCCTTAGTCTCCTTATGGCAATTTCAGCAGGTTTCAACATTCTATATTCATTCTTGTATAGAAAGTACATCACCCACGTTCACCTTCTTTTATTCTCCTTGTTCCCATTACGGCCCTCCCCTTATTCTGACCCGTTTTTCGTTCTTGTCCTTCATTGTTTTAGGTGTTTTTCTGTTGTTCACTGGGATTTTTGCTTTGGTGTTGTACATGTACAATACTTAAGTCATTATAGCCTCCCTCCACTGCACTTCCTTGTCCTTCTCCCCTTGTTCTGTGTTGTTTAACAGTTTTCAGCATGTTTCCTTGTGTCACACAGATGTGATGTACTTCATTATTATGCGCTATCTTTTTGGATACATGCTCTGCATGTATTTCTATGTATATAAAATATTACTTGTTTGAACTTTTTTTTCCCCTTACTTTATCATGTCCTCTCAGTTCTTCCTTGAAGCAGTTATACAGTTTGTACATCCTTTGCATCTAAGAGTCCTTTGTGTCTTTGTCATACATACAAATTTGTCTTGCTCCTTATCACACTCACAAAATTTTCTCCAATGAAATTCCTCCCAGAGGTACCTAGGGGCATGCTTGGTGAAGGCTGGTAAATGTCTTCTTGTCCTGACATTCCAGGTCTGTCTGACCCTTCCCATGATCCAGTCATTCCAGTCTAACCAATCAGCCCAGAGCCACATACACTTGTCATTCATGCTGTGCCCCTGATAATCCATTTTCTTCCTCCTTCTTGTATTTCTAAATTTCTAGTCATTGTTCAAAGCCCATTGTTCAGGAGAAATCCTAACTCTTCCCATGGCATTATCATTAACTGAGTTTTCATCTGCCCTAGCAAACTCTATAGGACTGACCATGGAGACTCTTCTTTTCACACTGGCATCTTTCTAGCAGAGTATAAACTGTAAAAAAATTCATATATGCTTTGTGTGAATTTAAAAGAGGCAGACAGTTTGCTTACTGTAGTTCTGTTCATGCAGAAATCCTTCTTGGTGCTGTTCGATTCAGCAACAATCCAGTCCTCTGCAATGTGGAGACCATCCAGTGGCGGGACATTGTCAACAATGAGTTTTTGAGCAACATGTCAATGGACTTCCAGAACCACCTGAGCAGCTGTAAGTGTTGCATGAATCTTCTCTTAGCCTCCAGCTCCTGAGATGGGTAGAGCTATATACAATGTTGGGGTGGGTAAGAGAGAAGAACTTTATTCTTACGTTACATTAATTAACCTAAAATAAAAATAAGTAATAAGTGTTCTGTCCACTAGGAGAGCCTTTGCATAAGACAGGTCAAAGTCAATCTTTCACTGCTCAAGGCAGCATAGATCACATAGCCCCACCTCACTGCCCTTTAGGCAGCAGAGCCCTTGTGTGGCCATTGAGCAGAACTGCCCATTGTGGGATAGCTGCACTACTAACTGTAAGTTCTGACCTGGGGACCTTTGCCATTCTGCCTCATGAAGATTGACCAAACTCTTGAGTGCTTCTGACTAGCTACTGAGTCCCAAAGTGGAGCCCAGGCCCTCCTGACCCCTTAGCCTCTGCCCTCCAGCTCATGGATGGAGAAACTCCCACAGAACCACAGGCAAAATGGGGCACAGTTCACAAGGAGGAAGTTTGTCCATATTTCCCTAAATGCTTTCACCTCATTTTTCTTTCATCAGCAAGGTAGCTCTGTGAGGAAGACATAGCAGGGGATAAGGCCTAAGGTCAGGGCTGCACTCTGTGTCCATTGCCAATACTATGTGAGAAACTCTGGAAGGCACGTGCTTACCCTTATCAAGTTTCCACAAGCTTGCTCCCCTTCCTGATTGCCTGATTTTTCAGCTCTTTAAAATAAGAAGTAATCACTATTTCCTGCTTCTTTGGTTTCCCTGCATCTGTGCACTGGATGCATATTTTGCTATCTGGCCTCACGTTGGAGCTGACATGGGTTTTCAAAATCATCAACTAGAACCTCTTTGGGTTTTGTTTATTTGCTACATTTTTATTATTAATGACTCATTGAGTCATTGAATGGATGTGATGAAATACTCATAACATAAAATCCATCATCTTAACCATTTTTAAGTGTACAATTCACTGACATTGTGGTATAGCCGTCATCGCCATCCATTGGCAGAACTCTTCATCTTGCAAAATTGAAATTCTGTACTCATTAAACAACAGTTACCCCCCCATTCCTCCCAGGCCCTGACCCTGGCAACCCCCATTCTACTTTCTGTCTCTATGAATTTGACAATAGTTTAAGTACTCTGGGTAACTCAGATGGGTGAAGTCATACACTATTTGTACTTCTGTGTCTGACTTATTTCACTTAGTATAATATTCTCAAGGTTCATCCATCTCATAGCCTGTGTCAGAAATTTTTCCTCTGTGTGGTTGAATGATACTCCATCATATGCTTATGCTACGGTTTGTCTATTTATCTATTGATGCACTATCTAAATACTTACTATAAACATGGCTGTTGAGCTCTTCTGTTTTATAAATGTTATTCCACTAGATACCCAGTGTGACACCCAATGTGTTTTGAAGAAACTGAAAGCTTTTTTTTATAATGCAAAGTTTTTTATTACTCATGAGATTGAGCTTAACACTTCATCAGTTATCTGACATACAATACTAGGTTATATTGTGAATATTTTTTATAACGAAAACTAACGTGAAAAGGCTGCTTATGGGGCTAATTATATTTGCTATGGATAAGATCAGGTAGCCCACAATGGCCCACCTACACTCACTACCACCATGACTGTAGGAAAAATCCACCCAGAAATATTCATGTACTAATAAGATTAAAATATTTCAACACTTTCAACTGTAAATCAATATGGTGTTGATCTAAGAATAGTTATGTTAGTCACTTTTCTATTACTGTAATAAAATAGCTGAGAAAATCAAATTTAGGAAAGGAAAGGTTTATTTTGGCATACAGTTTTAAAGATTTCAGTCCTTGCTGTATAACTGTATAAAATAATCTTTAAAATCCTCACGTAAAGATCTCTCCCCACTTCCCAAAGATGGGTCAAGGACGTGAGCAGTCTCACTCTCATGGACACATACAGTCTCTGCCTCCCTCCCTCCCGCCCTTTCTTCCTTCCTTTTCACAGCACACAGTCTACAACATCCAGTAGCAGGCGTTTGGCCTCACCAACTTTAAGGACTCTGTTGAGCAAGCACCAGCATTATATTAATGCCCTTCATCTCTGGTGACTATTGTAAAAATTGTCACTCATTTTAGAAGGGAGTCCTGGCTCACAACTCACTGGACAAATTGTCAGCTCTTCATTTGATACCTAAATTTCTCAGTGACTAAAATTTTTCTGACTACCACAGACTTTGAGGCACTTTCTAACTGTGTTAGGGTATGATACACTCATAGTAAAATATCTGCATGGGGCTGAGGACATACCTCAGATGTGAACACTGGTCTAGCACTGGTGAAGCCCCAGGTTAGATCCTCAGCACTGCAAAAACCAAAGCAAACAAACAAACCAAAAAACTGCACATCTGATTTCCTTTTAGCAAATTTAGTGGTCAGCCTATTCTCTCTCTATAGATCTTCAGATCTCTCAGTGTACATAAAAGCAAAACATGACTATGGAGATTAAAAATCTTTGTAGGTGTAACTTGTAATTGACCAAATATAAAAATTGCAAAAATTACCAATTGCACAGATTTCCAGACTGTAGCTTACAGATTATATGTTAAGATTTTATGTATGCATGTATGTATGTATGTATGTATTCATTTATTTATTTGAGACAGGGGCTTACTATGTAGCCTTAGCTGGTCTGAAAACTCACTATATAGCCCAGGCAGACCTTGAGTGCTGCCTCATGCCTCACCCTCCTTCAGCCTCTTGAGTGCAGGTGTGTGTTACCACTCCTGGCTTTAGATAAGGTTCTAAGTAATTGATAAAGTGATATACACTATTAACGTGTTCACTCTCTGTGCATCATTCTGTGCTTCTCCTTGCCTTTTTATTTATAGGTCTTGATTTAGCTTCAGACTGGGAGGTAGTACCTTCACCTGAGGGCCTAACCAGATTAGATACCTCAAAACTGTTATGGAAGATGCCAGAAAATTCTCCAAGCTTAAGAATATTAGAACTCTGGGACCTCGAGTTCATTTAAATCTCCATTTACTTGCCTGTGATAAGTCAATAATTCCTATCTGCCTCAGTTTCCACATTTGAAATATAAATGAAAGCAATGCATGGCTCATCTTTATTATTATTATTATTGTTATCATTATTGCTATAGAAATGTTTTAAGTCATCCTACAAATCAACTGAAAATAAGAAATTTTAGGGTTTTTTTTTTTTCCCATAACTAGAACATTAATCAGGACCTGGGAAAAGGTATCATCAGTTTTTTGTCATTCATTCAGTTTGCTGAGATGTGAATTTAACTACCAGATTTATATTTCAGGCCAGAAGTGTGATCCAAGCTGTCCCAATGGAAGCTGCTGGGGTGCAGGAGAAGAAAACTGCCAGACACGTAAGTCGTTGAAGTCTATGTGTGTCTACCTCCTTCTGTGAGCAGAATGCAGGTCACTGTGACTATTCCTGAACTGGGTACAGGTGGTTGGATTTTCAATAGTACTGGGATTTGAACTCAGGGCCTCATGCTTGCTAGGTAGGTGCCTTACCACTTGAGCCACTCTGCCAGCTAGTGGTTGGATTTTCTCCCCTAGAAAACTGCAAATGCTGTCTTGAGTATGGTGCCAGCTATCAGTTATTTTTTAAATGGCAATTAATCTAGTGTGGGCTGTTTGGGCCACATTAGCCTGCCATAAATAAGAAAAAGGTAGCCACCTGCACCCAGACACTTCTTCAGGATAATTTGTGTATCACCTTATCCCAGGAATATAAGACTCACCCTTGTTGACTTTTTCATCACCTTTTGTCTGGGTACCTACTTACACAAAAGTTTGCACAGTGTCTCTCAGAGGGCTTTTGTATTACTCCTTCTTTAAGAAACAGAGTTTAATTTATCTAAGCATGGTTGCTGACTCCCATGCTCAGTAGTCAAGGAATCTGCAGACATGTCAGCTTCAAAACTGACCAAATATACTTAGTTTAATTGTGATGTGGCTGTTGCATCTCTTTAAATAAACACTACCTCCTCTCAGGTGCTCTTGGTATTTGTGTGTGCTTTCTGTACCACCAAAACTAATAATGTCTGATTACGAAGAATACGTGGATGTTTGGACGTGGCATAATTGGTACTCCTAAGTAGTTAAATAATGGAAAAAAAGATACCATCAGGTATCTTTTCAGTTTGGCTGAATGGGAGTGTCTAGGAACTTAAGCCACAGAATCAGTAAAAATCCATCATTTCTCCCACTTTTTCCTCTACTGTTTGCAAGTGTTCCATATCCCTGGAAGGATCTGCCATTCTCCCCTCCATTCACCATACTGATGATCTTTCTTCTTTTTCAGTCACCAAAATCATCTGTGCCCAGCAGTGTTCACGGCGCTGCCGTGGCAAGTCCCCCAGTGACTGCTGCCACAACCAGTGTGCTGCTGGCTGCACGGGGCCACGGGAGAGCGACTGCCTGGTGAGACCCAGATTTGGAGTCACAGTGCAGCCACCATGCACTTGCCTCCCCCAATCATACAGGGATTTTCTGTGGGACACATTTGTTGATTCACATTAGTGGCAGGAGATACTCCACTTTACTTGGTGACAAAGTGTCTGTTATTATCCTGCCTATACTTTGAACAAATTATATGACCTGTGTATGCCTCCAATTCCTTATCTCTTATGTGGTCTGAATGGCTTAATGCAAATGGCATCATCACCAGGACCTGGGCACAGAATATTGTTGCCAACAACAGTAGCATCACGCTGTTCATTTTTTTCACTTAATTCTGTTGCATATCTACAGTTGATGCTGTAAGATCCCCTAAGAAACCCATCCACAGCTGCACAGATCTTTGATGGTATGACACTTGGGTCTCTGACCCTAATCCCTCTCTTCTTTGCACTACAGCTCTAATGCCTTGGGCTGCTCCCTATCCCCAAAAGGTCTTTACCCCTTGCCCTTTTGTCCCTGTCACTGCAGAAAACTCTAATAGAAGCTTTGTTGCCCCCAAGGGCAGTGGGTACCACATGATGGTTGCAGGTGGGGGCATCTCAGAAGCCTGCAGACACCAGAGCTGGTGGATAGACAGCTAGTGTCAGCACAAAGTGTGCCAAGGCCCTCTCTGGCTCTGGAACATTCTGTGGTTTCAAGAAAGGGACATTTCTAAAGTCCAGGGGCTGAACCCAGCAGCAGGGATTTTGACTTGGTTGGTCTGGGCTGATTCTCATGAGCAGCTCGAGGGAAGACTGTATGTATGGTTCTTAGGAAGAGCCACCTCTGTATTTGGCCTGACTATTTCTGCATGACACCCTTCCTAGTCAAGTTTTCCTGCAATTTTATAATAAATTCTGAAATTTATTCTCAAGTGTTCTTTATAAAGGAAACCCAATATCCATTGAGTCTTAAAATAATGGCACTCCATAGGTGGGACCCCCTTCATTTTTTGCAAATCAGTAGGCATGTATTTTTCTCTAACCATAAACCAGAAGAACAAACACTTTCAGAGACAGATCTTTCTGACTGTACTGAAAACACTTTGCTAGATCGTCCAACTCTGATTGAACACCTGAGTGTTAAGAACTGCATGCTGAGCTTCTGAGCCTTTCTATCCTGAAATCAACATGGCTTCATTCCTTTGGTTGCCAAGCTTCAGTCCTTGCACCTTGACTAGTCATGTTGTCTCTTCTGCAACAGGTCTGCCACAAGTTCCGAGATGAAGCCACGTGCAAGGACACCTGCCCACCACTCATGCTGTACAACCCTACCACGTACCAGATGGATGTCAACCCTGAGGGGAAGTACAGCTTTGGTGCCACTTGTGTGAAAAAATGCCCACGTGAGTTCTCCACATGGAAACCCTTCGACTTGTCAGATGTCCATGTCTTCTTTGGTGCTTTTCTAAAGTTCTGGAGTCCCCTGTCTTGGGAAGTATTTAGATCAATGTGCTTACCTTGCTGTCAAGCAGGTGTTGCCTGTCCAGACATGGAGGTGACAGGCCAGTTTACTGCCATGGGGCAGTAAGGCCATTGCTACCTCCACCATGGCAGCCTCCTCTGTTCATGGGACAGCATCATTTTTGGTCCTCAGAGTCACTCATGAACTGGCTGCATAACGTGAAAGACACCTGTTGCTCCACCCACAAAACTCAGGAACAACTGCAGTAGGCCAGAGTGTTCTATTGTCTGATTGGCACACAACCACAACTCTTTGCTGTTTGACTCTTATACCAAGCAGGCATTTAACAGACTTAAATGAGAGAGGATAGCAGATCTGCCTTCTTTATTTGATTTTTTTTTTTTTGGCTGTGCTGGGGTTTGAACTCAGGGCCTCACACCTGCCAGACAAGCACTCTACCACTTGAGTCACTCTACCAGCCCTCAGATCTGCCTTCTTGATGGGTGAAAATTCTGGTGAAAGTTGTGCCTTATATGAGGAAATTTTGTTTTTGTTTTATTTTAATTATTTGGGGTTGAGTTTCACTTATTTATATTTGAATCCTCCTGGTAGGTAAAGGGAAGTTGCGATGTGGATTGTTTCTGAACAGAGAAAGTGAAGTGATGTCTAACTAAAGAGTCTTAGAAACCAATCTTGACTTCAGAAGGGAGATTAAGAAAAAAATTATAAAAGAACAATTATGAGGGACAGATTTTGCCCTGTGTATTTGGTATGGATAAAAAATTTAAAACTCTGTACAGAAAAATAACACACAAATGGAATAAACCATTGTAAGGTAAATGGCAAACTACAATAAAAACATGCCACAATTATGACACAGACTGTATCTTTGTGACAGAGCTCAATAGGTAGACCTTTCAGCTCCACACAAAACACTCAGAACCTAAGATGACAGAAGCATACAATTCACAGCAGGAGAACTGCTAACATCCAGTGAATACTTAGGAAGACCCATTGGGGAACTGGAAAGAGGAACATAAGGAGTTTCAGAAACATAATGTAGACAGACATAAACATTAACCCAAGTAGATTACCCAAGTGTGAGGGGAGGCTGAGGATGGGACCGAGGTGCCTGGCTGGGCTGCAGAACCAGCTGGTCCTGCAACTGTTCTGCGCATAGACATATGTCCTCATCAGAAAGGACCATGGAGGGGCAGAGCCAGACATCAACTGCAGAATGAAATGGAGCCTCAAATGTAGCTACTTCAGAGGGAGAGTGGTTCTCACCTGGTTAATTAATACTAAACTTTAACTGTAAACCCTGAAGACAAATCCTGTAGAGAAAACTGAGCTTCAAAGAGGTGCTATAAGCTTAGGGGCATGAGAGGTGTTTTCTGCCTCCCGCAGCTATTGTCTGTCTGGGATGAAATATGTCTGTTTCCCTATGTTACCATCTTGAAAGCCATTAAACTCTTCAACTTGATTATTTTCCATTTGTAACCTTTCATGCAACCAAAGGATTAGGGACCCTTTTCATCAGTCTTTTAGACCAGGTCATGAGGATGTTTGTGGGAGGCCAGGAGCACCTGCCACAGCTTCCTCACCTTCTTTTCATTGCCTCATCCTCAGGGAACTATGTGGTGACAGATCATGGCTCCTGTGTCCGGGCCTGTGGTCCTGACAACTACGAGGTGGAGGAAGATGGCGTCCGCAAGTGCAAAAAGTGTGATGGGCCCTGTCGCAAAGGTAGGGAACCTGCAGGTGTGTGCAGGCTTCTTCCCCAACCCTGAAGCTGTGCTCTATGCTCACCTCCAAGTAAACACATCTTACTCTTCTAATAAAAAGACATGTTTGTTGCTTCTTTAAAATTGAAGATAAAGCTGAAAAGCCAGGTTTGGGCTATAGAAGGGCAGGGCAGGTTTGGCTGGGGGAGTTCTCTGTTTAGAGCCAGGCACAGAGGTAGCACCTGTAGCACAGGTAGACAGACAGCCCTGGACAGAGAGGGGACAGGCAAGCATGTTGGGAGCAGCCTGAGTGGGAAATGAGAAAAACCAAGGCCATAGGTTCTGGTACCTAGGGGCTCTCCTTTGGTGTTTGTGGGGTGAATGAATGATGGCATGGGGTAGGGTCCTCCTTCTGCCTTTGGAGCCACAGCATTCTTAAGTCAACAAATATGAATGGAACAAACATCTCTCTTAACAGTTTGTAACGGAATAGGAATTGGTGAATTTAAAGATACACTCTCCATAAATGCTACAAATATCAAACACTTCAAAAATTGCACTGCCATCAGTGGAGACCTTCATATCCTGCCGGTAGCATTTAGGGGGTAAGTGACAGTTGCTTGTGCAGAGAGCAGTGAAGTCTGCTTTTTTAATAGAAGAGACTAGTGATCAATAATTATTCTGCTGTTTGTTTCAGTGACTCCTTCACACATACTCCTCCTCTAGATCCAAAGGAACTGGATATTCTAAAAACCGTAAAGGAAATAACAGGTTTGTACTGAGGTCTCCAGTAGCATAAATGGGAAATCAGTTTTATAATGAGAATCTTGGACATATTTCCTTCTCCCTTGGCATAAAAATATTACTTTTGAAATTCCACTATTAATGATTAATTCTTTTATACTTTTCAAAAATGCGATTTCCCTTGTGTGCAAGGGGTGAGCACTTTAAGCTAAGGCTGGGGCCCTGGCAACTCCAGTGGATAGAGGGAGTGGAAGGGTAAGAAGATGAGGGGTGTGAGGGCAGAGAGCTCAGGCCTCATAAACTAGACTTCAAACCATCTTTTGGCTGTTGACAGTCCATGACTATTACCTGAGCTCCACTTTCTTCATTTCCAGAAAGGAATAATGAAAACTGAATAACAAGGTTTATTTTAGGATTGGAATTAAATAAGGAAAATATTTAAAAGTCTTTGTCTATAATAAGGGCTCAATAATTGGCAGATCTAATCAGAACAGAAGAACAGAAGGGTGATCAGACTTGGAGCCCCACGAGGCTATCAGGGCACCACATATAGGCAGCCCTTGGATGGGAGCTGAGCTGTGTGGGAAGTGCAGCCAATGATGTGAAGTACCACAGGAAGGGCAAGATGCCAATTTCAACCATTTGCCTTGACTTGAATATTCACATACTCATACATCCTCAAAAGACGATAAAAAGAATCCAATCCACAATTCCTGTCCATATGGCAATCTCATAAGAATCTTAAATAATGTTTCATACAAAAAAAAGAAGTTCCTAGGTGCTGTGTGTCTGAGCTTTCCTTCTGCCTTCCAGGGTTTTTGCTGATCCAGGCTTGGCCTGAAAACAGGACTGACCTCCATGCTTTTGAGAACCTAGAAATCATCCGTGGCAGGACAAAGCAACAGTAAGTTGATGGCAGCTGAAGCCTGAATAGTTTTTTGTCTTTTTACTTGGAAATTAGACTTAAAGGAGAGTTGTCAAAATGGTACGGAGTTCCCATACATCCTTCAGCCAACCTCCCCTAAATTCCCATCTTACATGACCCAAACATGTATGCACGTTAGTAAATGTAAAAACAATAAAATAAAAGGAGAAAAGAAAAAAAAATACTGTTTCCCAAAACTAATCCCTAAAAGGACTATATATAGTACTGTAAAAATTCAGAATTGGTGTACCATACATATGAGTACCTTACACAAACTGTGTTGGCCGAACACATCTAACACTAAACAAACAGCTACTCTTGCTTTCCTGAAAGGTCCCTTCGCTCTGAGGGTTTCAGGAATACTGTCTTAAGATGCCCAAGGTTGAGACAGAGATGAGATTTATAGCAGTGGTTTTTGGATGATGGGTATGTAGCACTTGGTCTAACTGTAGTTACTGAAACAGATAAGGACCACTTATTTTTTCACATTTAAGTGCAATAATACCAGTCCCCAGTGTTGCACAGTGACCCTTGGTATAGGGAGTGATTATGAGAAGCCTATGAGAACTTGACATAAGCACAGTTGTGCTCTATGATCTACAGACTGAGTTTGGCACAGCCCCAGCTGCAGAAGGGGGCAAAGGCAAAATGCAGCACAGCTGCTCTCCTAAGTTGTTTATGTTCAGAGAAGTAGGGTCACAGGTTTCTCCTGTTACAATGTCACACCCCTCCTGGAGAACTGTTGCTCCACCTCCTTGTTTACCACTGAGTATAAAACACTCACTGAAGGAGGTATTGATTGATGGATTGGGGGAATTTTGATTGGCTGGCTGCGGGCTGCTTGTGAGGCTGACACTGCTGCTGCTGCTGCGGGCTGTTGTGTGTCTCCACCAAAGCAGATTTCTGCATCCAGAACTTTATATATAGGTGTTAGAAAAGCTAAGTCTAAGTGCAATTCTAAGGACTGAGACTTTAAGACTTTAATGCAGGTTTTAGATGCAGCTGCTGTTGTTTGTCTGTAAGTCTGAGCATTGATGCTTTAAGAGAGAACATGGGACAGTGCAAGTCTGAGGGCCAAGACTTTAAGAGAGAGTAAGGAAAACATGGGACAGTGTGAGTGTAAGGAAAGAGACTTTAAAGAATAGAAAAGAAGCAAGGTTTTAAACAATAGTAAAGAAGTAAAGCCCTAAAGAATAGAGAAAAGAAACAAAGTAAAAGAAGAGAATAATAGAGAAAAGAAGTAATGAAGCTGTTGTGCATCTCCATCCAAGCACCCAACACACCTGACCCCAACTTTCTGCATGTATGTCTTCTATCCTTTGTCCTTTCTGCATCTCCAGTCACCCTAAGTGTGGGTGAGAAACAAGAGCAGGAGAAAGTGCTCGAGACCTTGGTTCCAGGATGTGATTCCCCAAGACAGCAGGTTTGCCCTGCAAGGAAGATAAGACACCAGCCTGGCACCTGGGCATATGATGGGGGCAGACTCCCCATCAGTGGTGGTTGCAGGTCTCCTGAACAGAGATCCTCACTTCTCCTGAACCAGGGTATGGGGAAGACTGGAAGAGCAGCCAGGACAGAAGGAGAAGAGCAGCCAGGAGAAAAGAAGCCATCGGATTATACTTTAAACCTTTACCATTTAGCACCTTAATTATTAACTGTCTCTTCACTCAGCCCTGTCTCAACTGGTTCATTCTCCATCCTGGTGTCAAATGCGTCTCCTACAAATGCAGATCTCTTTCCTGTGGTTTCTCATCAATCACAACCAACATCCAAAGTGCTCCCATAAGGGGCACAAGGCCTTCTGTACTCTGGCTTCATCCATCCTCCACAGACCCATCCCTTAGCTCTCCTCATCTGCACATTTATGGTCCAGCAGCAGCTGTGGCTGTCAGCACCCCTCAGCTCATTACTTCCTGCTCTTCCAGGTGGTTCAGGACGTCCTTCTCTTTCCTTTGAATAACTGTTATCCAGTCACAGTCACCAGACGAACACATATTGATCACCTTGCAGAGTCTTAACCTCAGTGTTGGGTAGAAGCACAGTGTTGCTGGCCTTGCTCTCTAGGTCTCACCACCTTAGGCATCATCACTGAAAGGAAGCTGCCTTTCCTGGCCATCCTTCCACAGAGCTGCTTAGGTGTCCCTGCCATTGGCTGCTGTGGTGCTTGCTCTGGTTGCATTTGTCTCTGGGTTCAAAGAATCCAAACAAAAGTTTCTTGAGAGTAGGAGACACGTATTTCACCTGCATAGAATTTGGCACATAATACAACAGTTTACATGACTGGGTGGATGGGTGGGTAAGTAGACCAGAAAACCTTCAGCCTTTGAAGTGCATTTGGATGTTTCAGATGCTAGCACATGTTCACTTCCAGGCCAAATAAAAATGTAGTAAATAGGTCCAGGCATGGCACTGCATGCCTGTGGTCCTAGCTCCTTGGGAGACAGAGGTAGGAGGGTTGCAGCTCGAAGCCATCCTGGGCAAAGATAGCACAGGATTCTATCCGAAAAACAAACTAAAATCAAAAGGATTAAGCATGTGGATCAAGTGGTAGAGTGCTTGCCTAGCAGGAGCGAGGCCTGAATTCAATCCCTAGTACAGAAAAAGAAAGTAAATAAAACAATGACATGAAGACATTGATTCAGCCCTGAGGTTAAAGATAATAGATGGCTTTTCCTTGGATAAGAGTTAGAAAACACTTGCGATTCCAAAAGTTGTAATACATACATCTTACCTTATTATTTGAGATCATTGGAGCCTAGCTTGTAGAAAATCTAAGTGGCACAGAAAAACAAAATAAAGTTTTTGAGATATGTCATTCTCATCCTTGTTCATGTTGTTATTTTTCTTCTCCCCAATTTAGTGGTCAGTTTTCTCTTGCGGTTGTTGGCCTGAACATAACATCCTTGGGATTGCGCTCCCTCAAGGAAATTAGTGACGGAGATGTGATCGTTTCAGCAAACCGAAATTTGTGCTATGCAAATACAATAAACTGGAAAAAACTATTTGGGACTTCCAGTCAGAAAACCAAGATTATAAACAACAGTGGTGAAAAAGACTGCAGTAAGTAGTCAATTTGCGTTTTGTTTGTGTAAATAGCTCCTGGAGTCATTTACTTTTTAGGTAGAATATTGAAGAGACCATACCCAAGCATTTTAATTTCTTTTTTTACAATCCTTAAGCAAATTAAAATGTATATATTCTTAATTGTGAAGTTAGCATGTGAAACTCATCAGAATTGCTTCCAGATCATTTCCATTTGATAGAATGAATATTCCCTGAGGTTTAGGCTACCAGTTATTTGTAATTGGAGACCTAAATTTAGCATGAATTATATTTCATTTTAGCTATAAATTGCTCCCTGCTCACTGCAGCCTCTGTGACTATAGCTAGGTACACATGCACACACATGCTTAGAAGAATGGGTAACAGTTCACATTAACATTCCTGCTCTGATTAGAGCCATAAGCAGACTTTTGAAGCTGGCTCGCACACTCATCCCTCTGGTGAGTCCCTGTTCATTGAAAGAATAGAGCTGAGTTCCAAAATGCTGGTGTTTCCCTTGCAGGATTTGAGAACTTGGCTAATTTACTTAATCTTCTTAGACTTTGCCTTTCTCATCCATAAAACTATAATGCTGATCCTCATACCACTAAAAAACCAAATAAAATTCCATATGTGTAGCTCTGCGCTTGGTGCCTAGTGACTATAGCCTTCACTGTGGTTTCTATCAGCTGTGGCATTTGTCATCAAAATGCCCCCGCCCCGCGGATCAGATTAGGTTACTCTGGACACCCCACAGGGAAGAAGAACCTTGGTGTCCTCCTCCCTTCAGACATCCCTGGCGCAGTCTGTACAGAGCACACAGCCCTTTGAAGGGTTCTTCCTCTTCTGCTTCCTCCAGTTCTTGCTCCATAACTTACCTTGTGACTTGCTGTGTTTTCTCAGAGGCCACAGGTCACGTCTGTAATCCCTTATGCTCGCCGGAGGGCTGCTGGGGTCCTGAGCCCAGGGATTGTGTCTCTTGTCGAAACGTCAGCCGGGGCAGAGAGTGTGTAGAGAAGTGCAACATCCTGGAGGGGTGAGATGCTGTTCTTTGAGCTCCTTGTCCAGATCAAAATTAAGTCAGAGGGCTGTTTTTATAGCTTTTCAGTTATTCAGTTATTTCTTTCATTTCCTTTGTGGTTGTTCAAATTTGTCCTCAATTTGGGTTATTTTGTTTTTCTTTTTTGGCAATATCACAATAGGAAGTAAAGAAAAAAATTTTCTTTACTTAATCCAGCCCAGTAATTTATCAAATCTCTTTTCCTGAAAATACCTTAAGATTTTCAACCTACACAAAGTTCCCAAGGCAGAACAGTCATAAATGGTTGAGAAAACCAAGAGCATGGGCATTTAGCTTTTACTTTGTAGTCCACTGCTCCTGGTGCTTAAAATGTATTAATAGAAAATATATTTCTGGATTAATTTTTGTTGTATATACTCCCACCATGCACCAAACATTGAACACTATAAATAACTTTAAATATAGTCAGGGACAAAGAAAGAAATAAGTCATATAATGTTTGTTGAATTTAATTACATTCAGTAAAAAACACAGTCTGTGGATAATCTGAGAATCTCATCATTGAAGTAAGGCTTTGAGTACCAATAATAATTTAAAAAGTTAATTGCAAGGTCAAATTGAAGGACAGAGAGAGACAAAGTATTTTTCTAATTTAAAGAAAAAGACAAAGTTTGTGATGGAGAAGTGCTATAGAAATTTCAGGGGACACTGGGAAATCTTACTTCCTTTTTAAATAGCAGGGTATGGACCATCTTGAATCCAGAAATATTCAGGAGAAATATCCTCCTATCAGCAGACCAAGTTCAATTCTGTAGGAATGAATCCTTTAGCTGATGGGATCAGAACAATTTGCTAGTTGATAGTGCTGTTTCAAGTAAGGAGTGTTGATATAACCCTTTCTGCTGCAAATAAACTTTCATCTCACATTTTCACTTTTTAGTCCCTTAAGAGACATGGTAATTAGAATAACAGTATCAAGAGGCCCATGTCTTTGCAGAGAAACCTGATGTCCAGCAGCACACTTTGCAATACTGACCCTTAAAGCAGAGGGTGATCCAGAGACAAAGCCCAGAAAAATACCATTGAGTCAGATTTGGTTTAAATGACGCTACGTGCCTAATGGAAGGACACATGGAACTCATTTTGGAATGTAAACACTTCTTGTAGTGAAGACCTATAGTTAATTACCTGGCAGATAATCAATCTTCATAACCATTTTGTTTTTTCAATCAAAAAACATATTCTTGCTCAATATTGATCTAAACATCTTGTGGAAGTTTAAAAATATTACGAGCAAAATTTTTCATAACTGTGTTCAGTACTTACTGTTTGGAGTACTAGCCATTGAGCAAGTTTGAGTATCCCCCCTTCCTTTTCCTATCCCTTAGTCTCAGTAACTTATCTCTTTCCAGCTTAATTTAAGTAACCACGAATCTGGTGTTAGAGAGATGGGACACCTCATAAAGATGTTTTACTTCCCTGGATTGTTTACCTAATACACAGAAACTATTCCTACAGAAAAATGTAGAGAAGATGTTCTGATTGTGAATGGAGCTTATGTGTTTGCTATCCAGGGAGAAGGTGGCCAGGCTTCCATTAGTGAAAACAGTATAATATTACAGAGTAGTACAAAATGTCCCAACCTTTTGACCTTCAACTAAAATGATTTTGAATTTTTTGATTTGTGTTATCTGAGCCAGTCACTGCTTCTTGGGGGATGGCATGACTAGTTCCCTTCTTCCTTTTCCCAGGGAGCCAAGGGAGTTTGTGGAGAACTCTGAATGCATCCAGTGCGATCCAGAATGTCTGCCCCAGGCCACGAACATCACCTGCACAGGCCGGGTAAGGCCTGTTATTCTGCCCCCACTTCCTGGGGAAAACCCTTCACAGAGGCAGGGCCACAGCAATGACCCAAGTCATCCCTAGCTGGGGAGGACAGCCCCCCAGCCCACCTCGCAGCAGAGGGGCGGGCAAGCTCTGTCAGCTGTGACAGATTGTGTTTGAGTGACATTACCTTAAACCACCTGTGGTCCTGTGCTATGCCCTTGCCATTCTTGTGGAGCACTGCCAACACGTTTCACTGGGACTGTTCCCTCATCACACTACAGAGCAACCTGTGCTGGACTTCTGACGCCATCAGCCGGTTTCCACCATTTCTGACACCTCCATCATTGCCTTCTCAAATTTGTGTTTAATACTCAATTTAAGTTAGTTGAAGAATTTTTAAAATAAGATTATAAATATACATATAGACCAATCAAGATGGCTTTGACAAGGAAAGATGCCCTTAATATATTATGTAAAATGCATTAAGTATAGAGTTTCTTTTATGTCTGTGTAAATTATGTGCATTTATTTTCCTTCTTTTAACATTTTCATTTCCTTTATAAAACTTTAGTAATTAAATTGGAGGAAAGGAGTCTCTGAGAATCTAAAGAATAACAAAATGATAACAACCATGCATCATTTCTATTTTTTTTAGTGAAAGTGATTGTAAAGTTTATTAGGAAAGGAATTCACTTTCAATAGACTGAAAGCTTCACCTTTAAAGAGAGATTGAAAATGACCACATCATTTCTTTATTAATGAATTATATCATTTAAATCAGTTTACTTTTTATATCTGATTACAGAGTTAACAGAAATTGCATCTGAATCGGGAAGACTGCATATTAAGCTATTTGCACTGGTCATATCAAGCAATAATAATCACAGAACTTGTCTTATACTTTAGGAACTTTTGTATTATTTGCCATTTTTCTTACACAAAATATATGAAATAAAAAGTTGCTTCTATTTTGAAAAAGGAAGAGGCATTCATAAATATTTTTATGTTCTTTGGTACAGGGACCAGACAACTGTATAAAGTGTGCCCACTACATTGATGGCCCTCACTGTGTCAAGACCTGTCCAGCTGGAATCATGGGGGAGAACAATACCCTGGTCTGGAAGTATGCAGACACCAACCATGTCTGCCACCTCTGCCATCCAAACTGCACCTACGGGTGAGTGGAGGCTCCAGTGCTTGCAACGGAAAATACAAAAGCACAAACTGATTCCTAACTTGCATGTTCATATGATGCAAATGTCTCCCAAATTTCCAGACAGCAGATTACATTCTAAGGTGTTTTGTCCCCATGGCCAAGTGGAAACAGAAAAATGCTTGTGGGCAGGTCTCAGTGTAGGTAGGAATAGCCCTCTGCCTCTCAGGTGATTTATCATAGCATGACTCTGTTCCTCAGTGCTGCCTGTCCAGACAGGAGACAGCAAGTGATAGGTAGAAAGAGGGCACAGGTCCCACCAAGCTGCCATCTTGGCTTCTTTCTAGGTTACTAGGTTAGGATGAAGATTGACTCTGTGTGTGTGTGTGTGTGTGTGTGTGTGTTGTAATTAGTAAAAGGTAACATTGCCTGGGATATTAACAATGCTCTTTTTTAGCTAGTTGATCATTAAACTATTACTTTGTGAGTTATTTTGACTTAAATTAGCAGAAGCACACTGATTATGCCTATCTTACTTATTGGAATAATAAATTTATCAATCAAACTGCATCACACCCAGCAATGAGAAAAGGAGTTGAGTTGTCATAAATACTATTTCACGTTTCCCTGTATTCCTTTAAGTCCTCACCCTTAGAACTAATTACTCTTTCTTTCTCTGGGTCTTGGCCTTGGACAAGTGTGTCTGTGCCTAACTGAGCTCATCTGTGTTTGGGGCAGTAACGGTGCACAGCTCACAGGATTAACTCGTGGTCATGAGTTAATATGTGTATTGCACTTAAAACAGTGCTGGGAACATAGTGAGCACTTGAGCAGTGAATGATAACACTGATGGTGGTGGTGGTAATGAGGTGGTAGTAACAATGGTGATGGTTGTGATGATGTGGCAATTACAATGGTGGTGAGGTGCTGTTTACAATGGTGAAGATTTACAATGGTGTTGGTGATGGTAGTGGTGATAGCAATATTGGTGGTGATGATGGTGATAGTAGCAATGGCAATAATTGTGACAGTTGTGATGATTAGTCAATTTTCTAAGAGGACAACTATATCATCTCCAAAAATGGTATCTGGATCTCTTTTCCAAAAGTTTCAACTTGTATCGTAAGGGCCAGAATTTCCAGGATAATTAATATCAGACACAATGATAATGGAAGTCACATTTTCAGATCTGATGGTGATGGTAATGGTTGTAATGGTTAAATATTAAAAACAGTATTTGCTACAAGTTGGAGGAGATACTAATTATCTTGTTAATAGTCATCTACATCTAGTTTTTAACTATTTTTAAAAATCTGGGATGGATTTTTATTTTTACCAAATACCTCTTTGATAGTGATTTAATATTTTCATACTTTCCCCATGCTGGTTACATTGGCCAATTTGTAAACTCCACAGAGCATGTTATATCCTATGGTGTGCTCATTTTTATATATTCTACATTTATGAGCAATTCTGGAGCAGATTTTCTACAACAGAATTATATGAACTATATAAATGTGTCTCTTTTCCCTGTTCTATCTTTTGGAAATAACTGCATATGTATGTCTCTGTGTTTATGAATGTATATTGCTGACCTTAGAAGGGATCTAGAAAGTCTTTGGGCAGTGGGAATTATCAGTATATTTATCTTGAATAAGAAACAATTTTCCAACTACAGAAGGGAATTTACTAAAAATTTAAATAATACATGTTAATGGTCATTTGTTCTAATATTTTTCTGTTTTCTTCCTAATTCTGAGCCTTTATGTTGGGAAAAGACCAAATAGTTTTATATAATCTTGCTATTACTACCTATATTTTCTCTCAAAGTCATTAACTACCTTGTAATTATATGATAAAAATAGATTTGACTTTAACATATGAAGAAATGTTGATGAGGATAAGAAAACCTGGTATTGTGCATTTATGATGTATATGACTTTATCTAATACATTGTCTCTCAGATTTCTCAGAAAAGAAGTATTTCTGTCCCCATTTTTGTGGGGAAAGAAGTACTTAATAGGGCTCATTAATCATCACAGCTCATGAACCAGTTGTGCCCCAGTCCAGACTATAGCTTAGGAACATGCCTAGTTCCAAGAGTCACAGGTTTGGCCATTCAAGGGCATGGGTAGGGACACTTGAAACACATTTTATTTATTTATTTTTAAATTTGTTTTTTAATTTTTATTGTTTTATTATTCATATGTGAATGCTTGGGTCATTTCTCCCCCCTGCCCCCACCCCCTCCCTTACCACCCACTCCGCCCCCTCCCTCTCCCCCCCACCCCCTCGATACCCGGCAGAAACTATTTTGCCCTTATTTCTAATTTTGTTGTAGAGAGAGTATAAGCAATAATAGGAAGGACCAAGGGTTTTTGCTAGTTGAGGTAAGGATAGCTATACAGGGAGTTGACTCACATTAATTTCCTGTGCATGTGATGAAACACATTTTAAATGGCACCACATTTTAAGGGCGAAATTGTCTCTGAAATTTTTATCCTGCTAAACTAATGTGAGAATTTGCCTATTTTGGTCATGTGTAATAAAATGTAGCTGCTATATAATTGTAATTATGTGTAAATTCCTTACAAGAAAAGAATAAAATGAGGGCAGAGAATACTTTTTTCTGATAGAATTAAATGATAACTTAATATGGCCTCTTTGACTTTGAACCAAAAGGCACTCTCAGTTTTCCTTTTATCCTCTTAATCTTGTGACACTTAAATCCTTCCCTCCTGCAGCATCTGTCTGTCACTGTCACTGTCCTTGTTGGTCATCTCGTCAACTGTGAACTGGTCTGACTTTCCCTCTGAGCTCACTCATCACGGCTTCATATTAATCCCTGCAGTTTCCCAAAGTTCCTTTCAGGGACTTCATGAAACTGCATCTAGTCCAAGCTGCAATTCCCATCCATCATCGTTAGCCACTGTGTTCCTAGTGTGTTTCACTCAGCAGTGTGAGTGTAGGCACAGTCAAAGCGTCAGGCATTGAAGTACAACGTGATGAGGAAGACTATTTTGAGGAACAGAGAATGTTTCCTCTCTGTCTTTGACTGTCTTAGTGTGCTTGGGAGATAATAGTCTAAAACAAAGAGGCTTTCCATGTGGATTCTACTGCCTGCAGATGCCTGTGTGGTTTCTGAATGAAGGCCCAAGAGCATTGCAGAAGCAAAACTGAATTATCTAACACCATGGAGATGTGGTAGAGCCAGATTCTCAAAATCAAGAAGAGTAAAATATAGACATCAGCACCAATTACTGAGACCCAAGAAATAGGGATAAAAATTCCAGTGACTGTGCTGGACGAGTCTAGAGCTTGCTTCTGATTCTCTGGGTCTATATGACTACAGACCATGGCCATCTCGCTGCCTCCTAGACTCATGTCTTCATTCAGCTGTCCCCTGCCTTTTCCTTTCAGCCACTCCCACTGTGTCCCCTGTCCAGTTTATTCCTTAGTTTATCAGGGCTTGTCTCTTCTCTTTCATCATGTCCATAACAATTCCCATCTCAGGAGCAGCCTCTGCTGCATTCCCTCACCACCAGATATCTGTTCAAAGCACGGACTTCCACTCCTTCATCGTGTGGCCCCCATATGTGTTGCTTCCCTTGGCTCCCTTGGCTCTCCTGTTTATCCTGACATGTAGAGCCAGCTATGAGACAAATATACCTGTGTTAAATTTCAGTGATGATCTGATTGCATAACTCAAGGCTAAAACAATCCCTGTCATGGGGTCACAGGCAGGTACTCAAAAGTATTTGCTGTACGAATTAACAAACGAATTAATGTGTAGTAAATAAATTAGTAACCACCACTCCCAACATTGAGATTCAGTGTGATTTTAATGATCTGAAAGTAACTTACCACACATTGCCTTATGAGTTAATTTAAAAATGGGAAAACAATGCAAAAGGAATGGAATGAGAAAAATGTGTTTCTCTTCCATTTCCTACAGGTGTGCTGGGCCAGGTCTTGAAGGCTGTGCAACAAGTGGGTAAGTGTCATAGCTTTGCGGCTAATGAGGCTAGTCTAATACAATCAAAAGCCTGCATTTCTGATTGTCCTCCACCCTTATCTGGTTTTTTAGTCTATTTTGGGCCAGCCTGGGGTCCCTGTAGAAACTAGCCTGCTGGTTCTACCCTTCTGTCCCAGGTGATGTTGGAGGATGTACCACGTTGTCTCTGTATACACACCTGTCTCTCACTTCTTTAGTTATACCACTTTTGCTTAGTCTTAGCTTCTCTTAACTTCCCTTCCTCTTTCCCCACTAGCTTGATTGGTCCTATCACAAACCTGTGTTCAAAAGTCCTTTCTGTTGGATGACAAAGCTCCAGCTTAGGAGAATTTTCTCTCTTTTCTTCCTTTTTGAAACACATTGCTCAGCAAAGGTAAATGGGCTTCCTTTGGTATTTTAATTCTGACCAGTTTCCATCATTGCCTGAAATCCTGCACCGAGAAGAGCAAAATTGTAAGTTCCTATTCAGATTCATCTGAATAGATGAATGGGAAGAGTAGCATCTAGTAAGTAATTGGGGAGATTATGTACAAAATACCAGCCAGGCACCAGTGGTTCACGCCTGTAGTTCTAGGTACTCAGGAGGCAGAGATCAGGAGGATCAAGGTTCGAAGCCAGCCCAGGCAAATAGTTTGTGAGACCCTAACTTGAAAAACCCTTCACAAAAAAACCAGGACTGGTAGAGTGGCTCAAGGTGAAGGCCCTGAGTTCAAGCTCCAGTACAGCAAAAAAAAAAACCCACCTATTTGCCATTTCTGTTGTCCCCAAACACCATCTGAACTCCCAGGGATATCCCCCTGCCACCAGATAACAATAAGGCAATTTCTCATTCATAGTATCTCCTTCCAACCCTATCTCTTCACTGAGCCTACACAGATGCTCAGCAGAACTTCCATCTTCATTCTACAGCCTCTGTGACCTAAGGTTTTCCATCACTTTCACATTTGGTAGACAGTTTTATAATAGATACTCATTAATTTTTTCCTCCTCTTCTCAGTCTCTCTCTTTTACTACTGTGAATCATTCTCTGTAACAAATTGTTCTTCTATCTTCCAGTATTCCTTTTAAAATGGTGAAAATTCATTAATTCAAGCTGTATTCATTAGGCATTTAGTATATAACTCAGGAGATGACTTTTGTACTCCCTAAAAAGAAAAGAGTTTCAAACAACAGTTTTCATGAAGTACATTTGGCTCACTTTAAGGGGATATGCAAGTATTTTGGCACCTTATTATGTGCAAATGATTCTGCTAATTAATTTTTGCTATTCATTAACATTGTCCCTGAAAATAAGGAACTTTATTTTCAATTTACCAGGAACTCTAATGGGAAAGATACTTAAGAATAATAAGCCAGGCATTTTGCCTCAAGTCTGTAATCCTAGCTACTTGGGAAGCGGAGATTGAGATAATCAAGGTTTGAGGCCAGCCCAGGCAAAAAGTTTATGAGACTCCCCCCCCTTCCAATCTCAACCAATGGCTGCACAGGTGTGCACCTGTCATCCCCAGCAATGTAGGGAGCACAAGTAGGATGGTAGTCCAGGCCCTCCTGGGCATAAAGCAAGACCCTATCTCAAAACTAACCAACACAAAAAGGGCTATCAGAGTGACTTTAAGTGGGAGAGTGCCTGCCTAGCAAGCACAAAGCCCTGAGTTCAAATTCACATTACCACCAAAATAACAAAAAAATAAAATAACTTTCACCCCAGCACCAACAAAAAAGGAAAAAGAACTTTCTTTTTTTAAATTTAATTTTTATTATCATAGTATTGTTGTACTGAGAGTACCTTGTGACATTTATAAAAGTGCTTATGACATGATTTCAAATTTAAGATTACTAATATTATTACTTTGGATAGTTCTTTCTCTTGTGGGCTTGAAAGCCTGACTTCTGATTTTTTTTCCCCTCTCTCTGAAATTAGACACGACCTTGGTGAGATGGAGGAGTGAATACACTCCTATATTTTGAGGCTGCATGATGATAACATTCACTCTAACAATGATGCTCTTTCTGTCTAATTGCTGTCACTTTATAACCTCGATCAAGGTCTTTCATAGGGCATTTCACACTGCCATGTGTCCCATTTTGAAAGCCAAGGACCCCTTGAAGGGTCAAGGTATTATTGGAGGATTCCTTCACCTAGCCTGGCCAAAAGACAAATACCTGACTACTGTTCTACATTGGTAAGGCATGCTCTTCAAAACAAGATGCAAATTCATAAAGAAAGCAGTATGGAGGTCTGAATCATTTTTTGAATATATTTTCTGAGTCAATATCTTAAAAAGTAATTATCATGTAGAGAGACCCAGTTAAGACATCAATTTTTAAAATTCAAAAAGGAGGTCTGTGTTGAGGAAAGATTAAAATGTTAGAAACATTACACTAGAACCATTAGTTGTCTTTTTGTTAGAAGCTACACAGTATCCCACATTCTGATACAATTTTAAATGATGTCAATGTGTCAACAAGATTCAGAAATGTATGAAATACCAGTGAGGTCTACCAGCAAACCTTACCCTCCCTTGGCTCTCTACCTCATTCCAGGCCCAAGATCCCATCTATTGCCATTGGGATTGTGAGTGGCCTCTTCTTGCTGGTGGTTGTGGCTCTTGGAATCGGCCTTTTCATGAGAAGACGTCACATTGTCAGGAAACGCACACTGCGCCGTCTGCTGCAGGAGAGAGAGGTGAGTGGCAGGACCCTGACTGCCTTGGGGCGAGCAGCATCCTCAGGAGCCCCCACTTCTCCCAAGAGGAAAAAGGACCTTCCTTTGAAAACTTGGAACCTCCCATTTTGCATTTTCGATAGTTTTAGTCATTTTCATCACTATAACAAATACCTATGATAATTGACTTAAAAAGAAATAAAGTTTGTTTTGGCTCATAGTTATAGAGATTTCAGTCCAGAGCAGTTGGCCCCATTGTTTTGGGGCTGTGCCCAAAACATCATGGCAGGAGTATGTGGTAGAGCAAAATCACTTACCTCATGCCAGGATGTAAAAAGAGAGAAAAAAAAGGCAGGGGGAGGGTCTTATTCTCCCCTTCAATGGCATGATCCCAAATGACCTAAAGACACCCCACTAGGCCCCACCTCATAAAGGTTCCACCATCCTCCAGTGGCACCATCAACTAGGGACTAAGCCCTCAAAACATGGATCTTTGGAAGACACTTATTCAAATTATAGTAGATATATAATTACATTATTATGAATTATTTGTTATTACAGAAGAACCAGAAAAAAATCTCTGAATGTCCAGTAATACACAGTTAGTTACATTTTGGTATCTTCATGCAATGAAATGAACATGTTTCTAGGCTCACTCACCCAAAACCTTACAAAACTGAATGGAAGTGTAAGGGACAAGGACAGTTGTTGTGTGTATGCATAGGAGAACACTTTTGAAGAGGTAGCTGCTGAGATCCTGTGAGGACCCTGTGGTTGAAATTAAATGTTACTTTGGAAAATGCCACTGTCCATGTAACTGGCCATTCCTTTCTGAGCTATCCCTGTGATCGGTGGTGTTCTTCAGTGCTGTGGCCATTATCAGTGTGTCCAGCACTGTGGTAGATGGTTGTCCCTCAGAAACACAGTGTAACCCCACAGATGACCAAAATGACCATGGCATAAAATTTCTCTCACCATGGTTTTTCAATCTGGTTATTTGGCATGGAAACAGAAATGGAAATTGCCTTTATTGACTGTGGCTGTTCTGTGAAACAACACTTGCCTCAAAGAGTCTCTGTTTCTACTGTGTTTTATCAAATTCTTGAGAGACGTTGTCCATTGTGCCTTTTGAACAAACATGGGGAGTGCTTTGTAATAAAACAGAGCCACAAACTGTTAGCTACTAACACCCACCTCCTCCTCTTTCACAGCTCGTGGAGCCTCTTACACCCAGCGGAGAAGCTCCCAACCAAGCACTCCTGAGGATCTTAAAGGAAACAGAGTTCAGAAAAACCAAAGTGCTGGGCTCTGGAGCATTTGGCACCGTGTATAAGGTAGTGTCCCTGAAGACAGGTCAGCACCAGGACTTCCGGGAACCAGGGCTTGCCATGTCCCTCATGTTCTGCATGGGTGAACCAGAGTCCTCAGTGTGTCACAGATTTTCACCATCATCTGTCTACTCTTTATTTTGCTGAGGGCTTGGGAAATTCCAACATTTTTCCCACATTACTGAGAAAAAATAAGTAGTCCTGTTAGGCGAAAAGACTCACAGCTATGGAAGATGTTGTTGACCTTGGGTGAGAGGGGATAGGCCAGGGTGTAGACAGAAGTGAGGAAGACAGAAGTGAGGCTGACTTTCATTGCATTAAGCATTCTTTGCATTAATCTGTTTTTAAAGAGCCTCTTTGCTTAAAGTCTGATTTCAGTTAAACCTACACCCAGGACTAAATGATCCACACTGACTTTACACCTGGCACAAAGATAGCGTTTTAAAAATCTGAATAATTACTCTCATCAATGGAGCCTGCTCTCCAAATTGCTGCTGAGATGTTGACTCCTAATACCATTGACCTTACAGTGCAGAGCCCTGCTCTGATGTCCTTCACCCTTCAGAGCTAACGTCTGCCCTCTCTCTTCACCCCAGGGACTCTGGATTCCAGAAGGTGAGAAAGTTAAAATTCCTGTGGCTATCAAGGAACTTAGAGAAGCAACGTCTCCAAAAGCCAACAAGGAAATCCTGGATGTGAGTATTTGTGTGTTCTATAGCTATCCACAGGCCCTGTGCTGGAGAAGACACCTTCTCTGGCATCTGACTTCATGTTGCTCTATTTCAGACTTTTTTCATCATCACATTCTAAGTGTTCTCTGTTCTGTATCTTTCTTACTTCTAGCTATAGAATGTACAACTGTCTCCTTTTTATGGAGAAGATTCACCTCTTCCATTCTATTATCTCTCCCCAAGGATGGAAGCTTTCAGTTACTGAGCATCTCCTGAGGCTGTACTTGACCCCAGTTCCTTTGCACACACCATTACAGTGAGTGTTCAGGACAAGCTTGTAGCACAAGTATTACGTTAAGTAGTTTTTGGAAGAGGAAACGGTGACATAAAGAAACTTACTCAGTTTTGTATGACTGAGGTAGGAGTGAAGCATATCATTATTTCTGATTCTGAAACTTGCATTCAATTTGCTCTGCTGAATTTTCTTGTCTTTGAAATGGCTTTTTAAAAAGGTGCCTATGATTAACAATGTGAAGCCCACTCTATAAACTCTTGTCCACTTTCTCCCAATATAATTTAAATGTTGTTATACAATGTTGACTGATTGTTACTTCTAGAGTCTTTGGATTGTTCCATGGGACTATTGCTATACCTTTTCTTTCCATTCTGTTGAGCTTTCTCCATCTTCTCTGGACGCCCCCTAGCCAGTGATAGGGCTGCACCCTATAAGGAAGAGACTGGCTCAAAGGGGGCATCCTGGAATTGAACAGAACCCACTTCAGTATTGGCCAGGCCTTGCTGTGAGCTATCTACATCTCATGTTCTTAACCTGAGACAGAACAAGTGAAAGACAGATAGAGGGGTCTTAGGCTGTGAGTTAGGGAAATGGAGTCAAAAAAAAAAAATTAATGCCTACTGCCTCATAAATCTAGATAATTTAGTTAATCTTACAGCCAAGGACAAAAGCTAGAGGCTAATATCCCCTAACCCTCCTCCTAACCCACAGAGTATATGGTAAGCAAAGCAAACATGAATGTGATTTGACATGATGAATTTCCCAATGGCAAAATTCTCTACACTTTAATTTTCTCCGGGCAGCTTTCTCCCCTTTTATTATGGTAGGGAAACCCCACATTTGCCCACTCCTAACGAAAGATAATGGATTAATACAGTGTGGCAGAAAATCTTGCATGTTGATGATACACTTATCAAACAAAAATAGCTTTCATTTTAATCGTTTACAAATCCTTGTCAACTCCTGTTAGCATAATATTTAGTCCTATTAACAACTACAAGGAATACAAGTAGACATAGTTTGTAAAGTCTTTTCACTCACAGCCCCTCATACTTGTTAAATAGAAAATCATTTTTGCCAAATTGCTTCATTGATTCATTTTTTTACTCATTCAAGACATGTTACTAAGCTACACAAAATAATGTTGATATGTGAATTTCAACAATATTTATAATGTAGAGTAAGAACAGTTTGGAAATATTCTAAACAATAGCTATGCTTTAGGAAGGAAGTTTTCACTGAAAAGTCTCTCCCCTCTCCCAGGACCTTTTAATTGGAGGAAATCTGCTCTTCTGTGGGTGGAGATAGAGTAGAAGATTGATAAAGTAAAGGTTTGAAGGTTAAATAAAAAAAGTGCACTTAAGTGCACCTATTATCTAAAGGCCCCAATTTTGCCTCTTTCTCAGCTTCTTCCTGGTCGCCTTCTCTCCCTTGGTGTTTCTTATTGTCATCAGATTCCTAAATGTCTATTATGATTGTGACAGACAGTGGATAATGAACTTGAGGCTATCTCATTTGCTTGTCCAGAGACTCTTATCTTCCAGGCTCTTACAAATCATCCCGTTAGCACAGGGCACAGGCAGGTGCTTGGGAGCCCCCTGCAGACAGGGGACACTGAAGAAGGTGGTTTCTGCTAAGGTAAGGAAAAGCCACCTAATGCCAATTTCAGGATGGTGCTAAACAGCACATTAATCCTAACACAGGACAGCCCCCTGCCCATTATCTTTATTTTTAAAAAATGCTGGCATGCATTTGTAAATGGTTACAATAACCTGATTCTCTGTGTTCCACCCACATGCTATATCCCCTATTTCAGTGACTTAGTTAAAAATGTCTGGCGTACCTACCCTTCATTCCCAAGGCTAGACATAGGTCTTTCCTTAAAGAGTTTAACATCTAGTGGAACCCTTTTCCCCATCCACAACATAAAATAACACACAAATGAGGAAGACAAGTAACAAAGAGGGACCCAAAACTTATGTCAACAATTAGGACAATCATAGATGTACAAGGTCACCAAAGCCTCAGGGACAGCCCTGTGATGGAACTCAGCCATCAGAACCTCCAAGTGAGCTCTGTCTGCACGCTGGTTCAGATTGTTGTGGAATACCAAGCATACTTGCTGGAGGTCACGGTGCACCTTCACAACTTCCAAAATAAACAACGAAGAACAAAGCTCACTTTAACTTCTGAGTGGAACTGACACACCACGACACAGTGCTCCCATTGTGCCTGGGGTGAGGGAGGGGGAGAGAATGATGACCCAGTTCTGTTGGTCTGTCGTATTTTAGTAGGACCAGGGACCTGGCAGGGCTCCAGGTTTTGTGTCTCTGTTCCCCAGTCCTGGTTCCAGATCAGCTTCTCTCTGGGTCATAGAGGATGGCCTACTGGAACTGCTCCCCTCTGCAGACTTTTCTCCCCTCTAAAATGAATACAGTATGTACCCAAATCTCAAGCAGACCTTGAGAAAATAGGAACAGCCAGAGAAATTCTTTGGTGTTATGGTTGTACAGCTCCCAGGCTTGGGGAGAGATGTGATTTATGCTTTTCTGGCAATCCCATGGCCTATTAATTTTTCCAGACACTTTCCAGTTTAAATTTAGGTCAGGCAATGGAAAGGGAATGCAAAACAGACTTATATATGTGCAGCTTGTGTGTGTGTGTGTATGTGTCTCTGCATGTGTCACAGCTAAAGCTTTCAGGTAGCTCATTAACCAGAGGGCACAGTGAACACCATGATTTTTTTTTTTTTCACACAGAGGCCCTGGGAGCATATGGTGCTGCACATGGGGTAGGCCATGGAAAGAGGGTCAAGAGCACAGGGGTTAGGACCCCCAGATATGGGCCTGGTCCTGACACTGGGAAGTGTAGCCTCAGGTTGGCCCTTCACTTCACTGGGCCTCAGTTTCTTCTTCTAACAGTAATGACAAAATGCACTTGCTGTAACATTTTATGAACAAGCATCTTTCCAAGATGAAGGAAAGTTTCAGTATGTCCACAGGATTAAAACATCTACCCTGCTCTTTAATGTTGTGATACTGTGATTATAACATAAAAGAAAGTCGCCCACACACATTCTACTAGAACACAGAGACCCTGAGAACTCAGGAAAGTGTTCTCTACACATTGTGGGTGGAATTGGAGACTTGTAAGCCCAGGTTGCAGTGTGATCTAGCACTGGGAAGCTCCAGCTCTGCTCTGGAGGGTGTAAGGACTGAGAACCCAGCCCATCCCTCAGCTTTGTGTAGAAGAGTATTTTTGAAATTACACAAATATATACATACAGATGAAGATAGTGCTCCAAGGCATTGGCTCGGCAGTGTCACCAAAAATCCCCCTAGGGTTTATCCAGATAACTGGCTGGGCCATCAAAGTCCACCCATATCTCACCCCTAGACTTAGAGGGAGTAAGAATTTGCCTCTAACAAGTTCTCAAGCAATGCTGAGTCTGCCCCTCAAGAGTTAAGATGCAGGATGCCAGGGAAGGCAGGGAGGTTTCTCTGAAGAGTCATCAGTCAGGGAAAGAGGAGGTGGGAGGGCTTTGGGAACAGAGACCTGAGGGGACAGCAGAGAGCATGGGGAAGGGTACAAGGCAAGAAAAGTAGTGTGGTCATATTTGAATTTAAATATATATGTTGGGGCTTGAGTGGAGCTTAGCGGTGGAGTGCATGCCTAGCATGTGTACAGCACCCTTAAAATATATCTAATCTAAATATCTCTATAATGTTTCTATATGTATATGTTTGTATCTACATATATGTATGTATAGACAGAGATATTTATACATGCATATACATGCCCTCCCCACCTTACCCCACACCCATATCTGTCTTCCATCTTCAGCCCTGAGTCCCAGCCTCCCTGCCCAAGCTCATGCCACGTGCCTGAGTATCCCCAGTCTCACCCTGTTTCTAGAACCTTCTCCTAGCACAGGATACATTCCCTTCTGCAAAGAAAAAGTAACCTTCTCATGTCTACACTCCGAGCCCAGAAGACACTAGGATGTGAAAGGAGCCTCTGAATTTATTTTCTTGCAGTCCCTGTGGTTTCTTTCACATCCAAATAAAAGGTCACCACCACTTGTATTTTAAAGGGAAAGAGAATTTAAGGTTGGAAATGGAGGATTCCCTAATTCTCAGATGGAAGGAGGGCTGCTTTGTGTACTTTGATTGTAAATAAATTCTGTTTCCTTGGCCTCAGAATGGCACAAGAGTTTTATAGTCTATATTATGGATCTGTCAAGGGAAGACTTTGCTAGCAGCCAGCCCAAATGAGGCTGGGTGCAATATGCAGAGCACCAGGGTTTACCATCAGGAGACTGAGACAGAGGCAATACAGACTACTCACTTCTCTCTGAGATGGGTCCTGGGCAGCCAGTGGAGTCCTGAGTCACTGTAGATTCAGTTCTCTGTCCATTTCAGAGGCTGAAACTGGTACACTGAAAACACTTCTCCAGTTCTTCTTTGCAGAGGTTCCGGGGAAAAGGTCTTTACCCCAAATCCCTTCCCATTGCCCACCACTCAGTCAGGGCTAACTAAATGCCTGCTGGCTCAATGACCTCACCTGGAAGCTCTCACCATCTCACCTCTACAGTGCCCATCTCGAGGGCTTCTGGTGACATGAGCAAATAATTGTCCAGGGTGTTTTGGGCCTCAGACTCAAATTTCCACAGGCCTTGCCAGCACTTTTAGCCTTAAGATGGTCTCAAATGCAGAGACATCAAGGTAACTGAGGTCCCTCTTTCATCCAACATTTTTGCCAATGGCAAATGCTGCCTGGGTCTCTCCATCAAGTGGATTCACCTAGGTGGGTCCAAGTCCCACAAAGTTTCCTGTCATTGCACAGCTCTGCATAAATCTATCTCCCTGACATTAGGTGTTTTGCAGTCCAACTGTCTGACATGAGTACATACTTTAAAACTCAAAACCATTGCTCATGCTTCCTTATCTGGAAAGGGGTCCATGCACCTCTCCCTTCAGCCACTATGGGTAGCCTCTGATGTATATGCTCTCCTTCCCTCACAGGAAGCCTATGTGATGGCCAGTGTGGACAATCCTCATGTGTGCCGCCTCCTGGGCATCTGCCTGACATCCACAGTCCAGCTCATCACACAGCTCATGCCCTTCGGCTGCCTCCTGGACTATGTCCGAGAGCACAAGGACAATATTGGCTCCCAGTACCTACTCAACTGGTGTGTGCAGATCGCAAAGGTAAACGCACAGGGAGCAGGCAGCTGGCTTTGAAAAGCCAGACAAATGTTTCCATACAGCAGGAAGTACAGCCACCTCCACTTGCTGTGCCCTGCCCTCATCTTCCAGGAGTGATGCTACCATTAGTAAGAGCAGGGAGGAAAGCAGCTAGGTGGCAAATGAGGAGGGCTGGAAAATGAGCCATTAGGTCCTCCATCCTAACTGAGGTAACTGATTTTGCCAAGAGGATATTGTATATATGTGCATGTGCAGGACATATGCTTTTCTTTATTTTGGATTAAATTGAATTGATAGGCTGTGCACTGTATCAATGCTTATCTACCTGCATGTTGGAAATCCAGTCCACTACCTGTAGACAGTTTTCTCCTTATTAGGTGCTCAGTATAGTTGGATGTTTTTGTCCTTGTTTCTCTGGACTTCTTTCTAGTGATACTATGGTGATTTGTGGTGGAGAAGAGGTGCTTTTTCTGAGTTAAGACTTGATATCAAGGCAAGAAAACCAAGCTGAGGCCAAAAGGAGGACTCAGGAAACTGTGTGGTCATGTGTACAGGGCAGGTGCTGTGACACAACACATAGTATGCAGGCTTGAGGAGGCAAATGAGATGAACACATGCTTATGCTCTGTGTCAGGGACTCCTTCAGTGTCCCCCTGTCAGCAAGCTTGCTCCAGAGTGGAAGGCGAGAGAGTAGACAGTGGCTCCAATCTGTGTGCTGGGGATAAGCACAGAATAGTGAGTCTGGTATTCAGCTGCTCATATGCCCCCAAAGGACTTCTGTTTTCATCTTAAACTGCCCCATCTCAATTTCAGCCCTACATCAGTTTTTGGCACCCAACTTGCTAAATTTGATTTTTTTTTTTTTTTGATAATGAGTATGTATTCCATGCTGTTGAATTTAAAGAATTTGTGGGCAGACTCTGAATATACATCATTGCCTCTATTCCCCTCAGACAGTGGGCAAGGTGTTGAGGGACTTGCCAGGGACCAGTGGGCTCCCAGCTCTGTTGCAGTTCTCATTGTTCACATACCCCCAATCATGGTGGTAGTCATTCTTGACACTGATGTATGAGGTGCACTAAACTTGTACCACCCAGCTCCAGGCAGATGTAGACAGTGACTTACAGAACAAAGTCTGAGCCCTCCTTTGCTGGCAGCATCCCATGACACCACAAGACCAGCTGTTGCTGGGAGTCAGGGTACAGGGTACAGACTGAGGCTGGCTCTCTCCTACAACTCAGGATTTTTTCCTTAGAATTCCTTCCTGATTACCTAAGGCAAGACATTGAAACTGTTGTGCCTTCTATCCAGGCAATCTCTGTTACCTTGTTTTATTTTATTTTTAGCACATGTTGCTTTCCAAAAGATCCGGTTTGTTTTTGAGTCTGTGACCAACTGCTCATGAGCCCTGGCTGAGTCCCCTAGCCCAGGTAGGGCTATCAGAACTTGTTCTGCATGATTCCTGATGCCCACTTTATCAGAGGGTGCCCAGAGAATTAGCATCTCTTCTTTAATTGTCTGGCAAATTCCAAACTCCATAAAAGTGACTCTTCTTTGGGCTGCGGGTATAGCTCAGTGGTAGAGCACTCACCTAACATGTCCAAGGCCCTAGGTTCTATCAATAGCACTTAAAGAAAACCCTTCATGTGATGGAGAAATGTCCTCAATCACATTTGAAATGTTGATGTTATCTTTTTGCCTTGAAGGGCAGACAGTCAGATAGGTTTTGCCTATTACAAAATTGGCTTACCATTTCAGTGGATCATAAATTCAGACCATGTTTCTGGCATCCATGAGTCAGGGTAAGCTGGGCAACTTGTACCACAAATTGTATTTTCTTGCACCTGGTCTCTTGGGTTGTGGAGTGGTATTCTGCCGCTTGTCGTTCTGGGTGGTTAGTATGAGAACAGTTAGCCTCTACGACTCGCCTGCCATAGGCGAGTGATGGCCAGATGATGGAGTATCTGTCCCTGAAAGGAAAGGAAAATAATTATTTCCCAAATTATAAAGAGAGAAATTTGCCCTTGGGTTAGTGACAATTTATCTAAGTATTAAACAATTTTCTTTTACGAGTTTGAAATGAAACTATCAAGAAACACTTAGTGGCTGACCAGAAACAACTCCTGGCATTTTCGAAGAGTCAATTTTATTGACTTTTAAATGTCCTGTGTTGATTCACAAAGGCTTGGAAAGTTTTCTAGATGGAGGGGGGGAGAGAGAGCTGGCCACTGGTTTTGCAAGTTCATTGACCTGACTAAACTTCTAGGAAGATCTTTTTTTTAAAAGTTATATCAAAAGAAGAAAAACAACAACAGGAAAGAAGCCAGGATGGAATTGGTAGACCACAGAGAGTCACACCCTCTTTTCATATGTGGTAAAAGTGGATTCTGTTCTCCACATAAAAAGTCAGCCTCAGGAGTTGGTGGAAAAATCACCTGCTTATCAATCAATCAGGAGTGAGTCTCCCAAGCTCCTGAACTCACAGGCAGCTTTAACTCACTGGGAGGGAGGGAGTTGCTTAAGAAAATGCATCTACTCTGTCTAGTTGCATAAGATAGCTAGTAAACCCCAGAATGCATCCTTGGCAAAAGAAGGTCATGAAATATCATCCATTCAGCTTGGTACACACTGCTGTTGTATGTACTGCCCCTAAGCCTTACAGTGTGTATATTGCAAAGCCCTACAATAAATAAAGTGGCTTAGATTGAAAACTATTTTCCTAAACTTTTGGGACAACAGAGCTTTTCTTGTGACCCAGATTAAGATCTCATAGAACTGAGTTTGCAGACAAACACTGTTGACTCTACAGTACAGCAAATGATAACCAAGTCAGATCCTAAAACCAGGCCCTAATGAAGCATGAGAGACAGCTGGTGGAAGTAGCAGCTCCAGAAAGACTGATTTATGGGGGTCAATGTCTGACCACAACTATATAAGCACCGAACTGTACTTAGCTCAATCTATGAGATAAATTTTAACAGTATAAAATTTTAATATTCAATTCAAAGGATCCATCTTTCAAATACATGGTCCAAGTTCATTTGAAAAAGTTCCCATGTGTTTTCATTGATCACACTTTGATTAGAAGTATCAGTGCAGGTGAGTTGATAAGAGGAAAACATGAGGATGAGCTAAATCAGTCCTGGGTTACCAGGTCCAGACAAGTAGAAGGAAGATGATTGCCCTCCAATGTAGGCAGAACATTCCAGACTACTTGTGTTTACTTTTAGGAAACGTACATGGTAGTGCTCCTTTATCTGTGGTGATGCATTCAAAGACCCCCCCGAGGATGCCTGAAACCACAGATAATGCCAAACCCTATATGTATTTTTTCTTATACATACAAACCTATGATAAAGTTTAACTTATAAATTAGGCACAGTAAGAGATTAATAACAATAGCTATTAATAAAACAACAATTATAACAATATACTATAAGTTATATGAATATGTTCTCTTTCTTTCAAAATATATTCTCCTGTTATATGAAAGTTTGCTTTCTGTAGTTTCAGATCTCCACAGTTTAAAACTTCTGAATTGTTTATTTCTAGAACTTCAATTAGTATTTTTGGACTGCAGTTGACTGTGGATAACTAAATTCATGGGAAGTGAAACTGTGGAAAAATAGAGCTACTATAATGTGTCCATATCATAATAGAGTGTAGAGAGCTTTCTCATGCTCCTGTTCTACTGACCTAACTGGGGGCTACTGGAGATGGAGAAAGGACAAACGATAGAAGACAGACATGCAGAAAGTTGGGGTCAGGTGTGTTAGGTACTTGGATGGAGACACACAACAGCCTCATTGCTTTTTTACTTCTCTTCTCTTTACTCTGCTTCTTTTCTCTATCTTTAAAACCTTACTTCTAAAGACTTCTTTTCTGTTCTTTAAAGTCTCTTTCCTTAAACTTGCACTGTCCCAAGTTTTCTTTAATCGCTCTTGAAGTCTTGGCCCTCAGACTTGCACTGTCCCATGTTCTCTCTTTAGCTTTTTTAAAGCCTCGGTGCTCAGACTTGCAGACAAACAAACAACTTGCAAAAAAACACATCTAAAAACTGCATTAGCGTAACTCTTAAAAATCTCGGTCCTTAGACTTGGACTGTCCCATGTTCTCTTTAGCTTTTCTTTAGCATAGTTTTTCTAAAGCCTGTGTATAAATTTCTCAGTGCAGAAAGCTGCTCTGATGGAGACACACAACAGCCCACAATGTCAGCAGCAGTGGCAGCCAATCAAAACTCCCCATCAAAAAACCTTCCATCAAAAAACCCCCAGTCCTCCTTCAGTGAGTCTTTTATATCCAGTGGTAAACAAGGAGGTGGAGCAACAGTTCTAGGGAGGGGTGTGACATTGTAACAAGAGAAACCTGCATTCCTACTTCTTTCTCTGAATATAAACAGCTTAAGAAAAAGCAGCTGTGCTGCATTTTGCCTTCTTGATCTCTTCTGTGGCTGGAGCCGTGCCAAACTCAGCCTGTAGATCATTGAGCACAACTGTGCTTATGTCAAGTTCTCAGAGGCTTCTCATAATCCACTCTCCACAATAGAGGAGCAGGGGTATAAGAGAATGAAAATGCTGCAAGAAGAATTTAAAAGGAGCAACCATATGTTTAGATAGGTATAGTGAAGAAAAGACCCTAATTTGTTCTACTTACCATTAAATACACACGTTGGTATTTAGGTCTCAGTTAGGCTCTGGTCTTGACAGTATGCAGGCTAAATAGGAAGACTGTTGATCCAAAGGCCAGACATTTGTTATTTTAATTATTCTTTAAGTTTATTCTTGCATTATTCCATAAAGTATTACAGCCAAACTTAAATAGTCAATCTAAAAATTACTCTATAGTTTATCACTAAAAAAGACAAAAGTTGAATAAAACAACTTAACATATTCATTGACTTTTGATATTTTACCGAGTTATTTTTTGGGCAATTATCTTCCAGTGTTAAGCATCATATGACATATACAAAAGTAAGACAGAATTTCTTATCTATCCAAATTTGAAAGGAGTGAGGGAAATAGATCCTTACAGAGCCAAGGGTACAGCAGGGAGTAAAGCAGATCAGATCAAGAGCATTGAGGGCAAGGAGAACTAGCATCTTGAAGGTCCCTGTGCAAGTAGAAGTAAGGACTAGCTTAGTGACCAAATGGACTCCACCTGTTAGCCAAGTGTCAGGAGCTGGGTTAGGCCTTGGAAAGAGTGGTGAAGAAGCCAGACTGTCCCCTCCCCTCAAAAGTTCGGGACCCTGCAAACCAAATAGCACTGTGATGTGAGTGAGAGATCTTTACCATATCCTGGTGAGTCAGTCAAGTGTGAGGACAGAGAGTTGGCCAGTACAGCAAGTGAGGGTGAGGGTGTTAGGGGAGCAGAAAAAGAGCCAGCCTCGGTAACTGAGGGGTGCTACTGAGAGTGATGGACAGCTGTGAGAGAGATTGGGGTAGAGGTGGTAAGACCTTATAGGACAAAGAAGATGGAGGTCATCACAAATGCAGACACACACAAGAATTTATTCATCATCAGACTTTTTAAGGAAGTATAACAAGAGTAGGTGAAATGAGTTGGTAGCCTTCTTCAAAGTCATAGTACAAGGGATCGAGGAGAAAAGGTGGATTTAGCATTGAAGGGAATGGTGGTAATCACTAGCACCTGGGGAGGACTCTGCTGGTGGCCTGCGGGGATGAGCTTATTAGCCCATTCTGTAGATGGGGTTACCAGCATGAGGCCTTTAAGTAAACATGCCAGGGTCTCAAACCAGCAGATTCAGGATTTGATACCAGGAACCTTGCTCACAAGTCCACATTCTTAGCCTGTGTTTGATGCCACCACTCAGGGGACAGTTTGTGGCCAGCTCTCCTCCCATCTCACGTAGTCTATGCCAGGCCATCCCATCTCTGTGAATAAGAAATTCTGACACTTCCCTACCTCTTCAGAGGGCAAGGACTCAGTGGTCAGCATGCTGTTGACTTTACTCCACCAGAACTTCTGCCAGCTCCCCACATCCTACTTCCTGCCATTTCCAGGTTCCCTAAGTCCATGCTTACCCGGGATTTTCCACATGGTGGTTTATAAAACAGAACAGAAATGGATCCTGTCCCAGCCTCTGTCTCTGAACTCCACCCAAGACTTGTAGGATGCTACAGCCCTTGGGAAAGCAGAGTCTTTAAAGGTCACGTCCTCCCCACCCCTAGACCTTTCTTGTTCCATGACGTATTGTGCCAGAAAAATCTTTGATAGCCGTGTGAAGCACAAACCTAGGCCCACTTTTGTAAGTTAAAGTTCTAGTGTGGCTTCAAATTTCCCTTTAATCTCAGTATTTCAAAGTTCATTCTAGCTGTCATGTAGTAATTTAAAAAATAAATACATTAAATTAAAATAAAGTGAGAAGAATCAGGAAATGAACTTCCCAAGAGACCCCACTGGGTGAACGCTAATACTACTTCCTGTGCCTCTCTGTTTAGATTCTGAGAGTCCAATAAGTAATCTCACAACTCTTATCTTTGGTGACTAGTTAAAATATAACTCCGTGGGGCACTGAGATGGCCTTTCAAACTGCCTTGCGAGTGTGGAACAGAGACAAGTGAATGGAGGTTTATCTGAGTTCAAATGTGTCTAATCTCTTTGTCCCAAATTACTTCTTACCTAAGACCCTCTGGCTGGTAAGCTGTGTACTCCAGAATATGTGGGCAGCTCTTCCCTGTCTTTCCCAAGCCTTCTCTAAAGATCACTCTTCTAAGACACCTTCCCCTGTGATGAAGTTGCTGCTCCTTTAAATCCCTCAGCCTAAGGAGGGGGAGGGTGGGCAGAGCTCCCTTGGATTTACTAGATTTATACAAAGACAAGGCTCCCTCAGCAGGCACAGAGCCAAGGTGCTAGAGTGTTTTTTGTTTTGTTTTGTTTTTTTAGCAGCCTTGGCCCTGCAGGCAAGTTTCACTCAGAGGCCAAGCTGGGGATGTAAGGCTGTTGTCACCTTGGTGGTCTGGGGTCTGAGGGCTTGAATGAAAAAATAACCACACTCTACCTCTTGACCACTGGGTCTCTATCAAGGAGTTCATGTGGGTACCTGGACTGAAGGAGAAAGACTTCTGCATGGATGTATTGAGATGGCTGGCACATCATCAGTGATTGAAACTGTTAACTGCTATTATTCAATCAATCAATCATTAGTCAACAAATGGTTAAAATGTGTCCTAAGTGCAGAATCCCCTGTTAATCATTTATAGAGGCTGAATGAAAGTTGGTACAGGTGACTAAATGAGACTGAAAGTCTTCTTATGGGTTTATTGAATGGACAAAACCCAGAAATTTTAAAGAAAGTGAGTGATGACTGGTCCTCTATTAAAGGACTGATGTGTGACTTGTCCATGCAACACCTACACAATAGCTCTTGCAGAGAAGAATGAATGAAAGAAATTCAGGGGAGAAGAAAAGGAGACAGGAAGGGCAAGAGAGAGAAGGAAACAGATGAAGAGAGAGAGTGGGAGAGAGAACCAGTGAGCTAATACACCCTGGAATGCAGAGGTTAGGTCTACCCAGGCAAAAGGCCAAGCATAATCAACCTTTTCAATCGAGGAGGAGTTCATCACATTTAATGAATAGAGGCTGTACTCTTTTATAAGAGACAGGGGCACCAAATCACAGAACACATTCACCATCTCTTAAATCAAAGGGGAGACTGAAGCTGAGGAAGGAGCCAGCCTTTTGAAGAGAAATCATAACAAGAGAGATTGGGAGGAAAAAAATGAGTCCCATGTTCAGAAGCATTTTCTCAACAATGCTCCTTCCTGTTATTACACACACACGTCCCTAAAAAATAATTCTTAACTTGAAAGACATTTCCAAAGAACCTGCTAATTTCCTCCTGAGTAGACATGAGTCTTATTAGTCTTTATTTCCTGGCACATAGGAAAACCTTAGGAAGAGAAACATTTAAATTGAGCAGCTCATCTCAACATTTAGGACCTTCCTAGGTAATAAGGAGAGAAGCATAGTCCTTGTTTACTTGAGACATGGCAAGCAACTTACTTTTTGTCCAAGAAGAAGAAAGCATTAAAGGTCTTAAAAATGACATAGACTAATTTTCTGATAGCATCCTTGTGAGATTCTGTTTTCATAGGATGCCTGGTTTTGCCTTAGGAAAGAAAACTTTTTAAAAATTTCACTCTACTATGGCAAGCCACAAATAATTTTCACTTACTTTGTATGCAAAAAAGAAGAAAAGAATTTGTCAGAACATTTGGAAAATCATCCTTTACAGGTAGGTATTCATAGATATTCCCTGCAGGTTCCTTAAAGTGGAGATGCCTCTATAAGTACAAAAAACACCAGAGCAAAACAGAGTTGGTTAGACCCTTCATTTCCACTTGGTATACTTTAGCAGGTTCTTCTGTGGGGCCATCTCTATGCTGGGGAGGTTGTGAGTGTCAGCCTGAAAGGAAATTAGAAATATGGCCTGCTCACCTGCCTAAAGAGGAGAGGTGTATTTCTGAATAAGCTGGAGAGAATGTGGAACAAACAACACAAGACTGAGGACGTGACCCCTTCACTACTGCCTTTGCCAGCCTTGCCCAGCACGGAGAAGGTGGGGCTGCCAAACTGCAGCTGGGTAAGGCCCAAGGGAACTTGGCTCAGCTGTGCAGGCATAAAGCAATAAGAAATAGAGGTCAGAAGTGACCGCTGTTGGCCAGCAGGAACCAAGGTGCCTGTGACAAGGACAACAGAAGGCTGTAGGCAAGGATAGCAATTCAGGAGTAAATATCTTTTAGGAATTCACTGTGGTTTGGACACTATGCTAGCTGTAACTATCCCTTCTCCCTTATTGTTACACCAGTGATTCTGATTGCCATAGATGGTACAGGCAGCAAGGGAGGTGGAGGAGAAGGCATCTTGCAAAACCATGTTCAATATGCAGGTGATTTCAACTAAAAAATAACAAACACTGGAAAGTAAAACTGGGCAAAATGTTCTTCATAGGTAGTAAAGGAAAGCATGAGAGCATGGCTTAAGTCCATCAAGAAACACTGCCATGCCACAGCCTGATGAGGTTGGCATTCTCCTCCTTGCTGTAAAAATAAACTACAGGGGAGTTACAGACTGGCAGGTGGCATGGGTGGTAAGTTCCAGAACAAGTGTCAAACCCAAGTCTCTGCATGACATCTATCACTGACCTCTTCTACTTGCACAGTGAGTATCTAGATGCAACCAGCTCCCTTTTCTTGCTTTTTCCATTCAGTAGATCATTATTAACATTTACCAGCTGCAAGTTATTGTGTCCATCAAGTGAAGTACAAAGATGAACTCAGCATGGTCCCTGGCATTGAGAAACTCATGTTGAGTTTCTTGTATGGATTTGATATTAAACTCAAGTATGTAAGCACCATCTCACGACACTGGGAGTCTCCTGAGCCATTCTCTCCCTCACTTCAGAGCCCTTTGTATTTCAGGGTATGAATTACCTGGAAGACCGGCGCTTGGTACACCGTGACCTGGCAGCCAGGAACGTCTTGGTGAAGACACCACAGCATGTCAAGATCACAGATTTTGGGCTGGCCAAACTGCTAGGTGCCGAAGAGAAGGAATATCATGCAGAAGGAGGCAAAGTAAGGAACTGACTCATAGATCAGGGAGCAGAGACCGGGCTCCCTACCTGTTGGGTATATTTTCTAACTAATGAAGAGGGCATTTGCCAAACATTCAGGATGAGGTCGTAGCAGCTCCTACTGCCACCTGGATCTAGCCAGGATCGTCTTCTGCTTTGAGAATGGGATTTGCTGGGAGAAGGGAGTAAAGATAAAGAGACATTCAGAGGCCAAAGAGAGTCAATTCTATCTCCAGGTGGTCTTTAACAAAGGCTAGATCTCAACCTCCCCCTTAGGACTTAAGCACCCTTCAAAAGAATAGCTTGGAAATATCACAGCTAATCTGGTGACACACTGCTCAGATATACCAAAAGCTCTGCATGTTGATCTGGTAGCTCCCATTAGTCTCTGTGACTCCTGTCTGGGACTGGCAGTCTCTGTCTGGCTTGGACTTTCTTTGGGGCACTCTCAGAGCAGTGAGGGGCACATGGCCTCATCAGGCCTCCAATGGCTCTGCTCAGCTGCCTCAGATGCACCCCTGTTAAGTTTCACACTGGCCTACATGGTTCCAAACAACTGTCAACCCCATGATTTTGACCTCTGAAAACACACCTAAATACTGGGAAGCTGGGACCCAAGGCCCCCAGCTCACCAGAACAGTCCATGACCCAAAAGCCTCAGCTGAGGCATTCATGAAGCTGACTCTGAGGACTCCCAGCACAAGTCTGTCCTCTGGTGGAAGGGAGCTGTAGGCCTGAAGCCAGGGCAGGAAGAGTCTCATGCTCCCCACTTGTAGTCACTTGAAATTACTCCTAAGAGGGATTTAACTTTTTTCAACAGAGGGAAGTTAATAGTTGTCTTTTTGCTTTATCTCTAATGATCCCAAGGTGCCTATCAAGTGGATGGCTTTGGAGTCAATTTTACACCGAATTTATACCCACCAAAGTGATGTCTGGAGCTATGGTGAGTCAAAATCTTGATGCTAATGAATTTGTACTGAAGCTAATCTGGCGTTTATTTAATCTGTTAATTTACATTACATGCTCTGCTGTTCCAAGGATTTTCTTGCAAGACAATGACAAAAAGGTAATAGCTGCCATCTATCTGTTATACTGAGAAAAGTCAAAAAAAGAAAATTGAGCCTAACTACCATAATAAATGCCACTAGAGACATCCATGAACTTGGTGTGATAGAGAGAGAAGGTCATGGGAGGGAGAGAGGACTGGAACTTCAGACATGTCTCTGCCTGTGAACTCTTACTGTGAAAGTGAACCAAAAGGAGACAACAAAGCAGATTGCATTGGGAACCATTTCCCCATAAACCATGTTTTCTGATGAACTGACTCCATGGTTGCTTTTTCATGTGGTGCATGATGGTCTCTGCATGTCAGAGAGTATGGCTTTCCAAGGATCCACTGTGAGGATGGCTGCAGGGAAAAAAATAAGAAAAGGGAAATAATTATTGCTTCTTGCTCTAAAAAGGACCACCGTGTCAGGACCTGACTCTTTTTTCCCCCTAAATTCTAGTGTAACCATGCACAGACCCATGCTCCATCCCCATGAGGCTCTCCCTCCTCCCAAACTTGCCTTTCATCATTCTTTCCTTGCTCTGATCCTACCAGGGCTTCATATCTGAAGAAACTGTCACTGACTGCTGTGCCAAGCATAGTAACCTGTGTTACCACGTTAAGTCCTCAAGTTTTACCTAGCAGCCCACAGAAAGGGTGGACCTTACCTTCCACCTTTGTTTGTAAATTTTCAGTTATCCTCAGCCATTTCCAGCAACAAGCATAAGAGGAGTAGTTAGCCCACCTCCTGCACAGAAGTATGAATTTGAGTATAGCAATATTGAAACTAATTTCCAAAAGGAATTTATTCGTTATCACAAAAGCAAAATTATTCAGATAGTCCACTTAGTATTTTTCTTTTCCCTAGAGTGTTAACTTTCTAATAATCCAAGAATATATATATATATTCTTGTATATATATATGCACATGGATTGCATAAGTGTGTTAATTTCATGCATCTATCTTCTCTGTTAGAATATAGCTTTATAAAGGCAGAGATCATTGTCTGCAAATGAATAAGTAAATTGTGATGTGTGCCTGTAAACTGATATTCCTCCATTAATGGTATAGAAAGCAAATAAAGATATGCTGATGCCTTCTTCCTTCCAGTCATTTTTAAAATGCTTCTGATCTCCAAGAAAGGACCCCTGCCTCCTGTCACAATTCATTTCCATTATTCCCATGCAAGCCTGGCCACTGCTTTCCTTGTGGATAAAATGATAGTAGCTCCATTCTGCATCTCTTTTATATTCTCTTAAACTATACCAGACTTTCTCATCTCTGATTACCATCCTTCTTTGCTTTTTAATATGTTCCAAATAATATGTGATCTCCTAACCATGGCCAACAAGATAATGAACCAACTGGCCCTCCACCTTTCCAATACCACATGACCCCAGTCCTCATCCTCCAGGCTCTGACTAGTCCACCTCTAAAGTCACATCCTGTTATTCTGTTCTTTAGCTTCTATTCAGGGCAAAATAATTCATTTAAAAAATTTTGGACATAATGTGTTTCACTAAGGATTTGAAGAGAGAATTTCACCTCTAGTGGAAATTCTTTCCACCTCTAGTACCTCTATAATCTACCACCCATTACACTTACTCTCTTTCTCACCATTTGTTCCAAAATCTAAACTTCTGCCTCCCTACAAGAACCCATTGTGCATGTTAAAAAACCTAACTAAGTAGGAGTTGATTTATCCATCTGGATGAGACATCCTTTAACTGTGTCTGTGTTGACTATGTGGGGGGTAGAGAAGTGGATGTGTTTCCTTGTCCTTGAACCATTGCTTTCTTTCATTTTTCAGTCTTACATTATATGTATTAATTCAGGTAATTCAGTGTTAAAATGGCCTCTGGAAAATCCAAACAGGTCTGTGGTACAGCTTGAGTATCCTTTATCCAAAATGCTTAGAGCCAAAAGCATTCCAGATTTTGGAGTTTTTCAAATATTGGAATATTTACATAAGACTTTATCAGTTAAACATTTCTTACCCCAAAACTCCAAAATCTGAGATACTCCAAACTCTAAAACTTGGGGACAGCAGGGTCCACGAAAGGCACAAGGTCCCCGAAACATTTGTGCGTTTCTAGAGCAGAGAACCTCATCAGAGGGCCATCAGACTCACAGCTTCTTTGAAAAAAAACACCGATTCCAAAATTACCACCACTTCCATTTGTTTTTAATCATAATATTTGATTGACTTTGAAACAAAAATATACAAGTTTTTTTCTGCTTGTCAAAAGGTACAGAGACTTTTTAATTCCTATTTTAGCACTTAAGAATATGCAGCTTATAACTTTGTTCAAAATCTACATCCTTCCACTGCTGTAGACACAAGACACTTAGGGCAGATGTGTGAGTGTTCAGTTCTTTTGCTACTAGAATTATTGTTGCTATCTTTACGGTTATTACTGAAGTTTACCATTTATTGGCCAGGTGCTATTTTCCAAGCATTATGCTAAATATTTTGATTGTTTTATCTTATTCAATCCTCATAGTCATCCTGTGAGACAGATGCCATTACCCCACTGGATAGACAGGTAAACTGAGGTGTCTCACAGTCAAGCAAAGCTGTAGAAACAGGATTTTAAATACTGAGCAACAATAAGAAACAATGATGGCTGAAGACCAGGTGTTGTGGTTATCATAAACTCAAGAAGCAACTGTTTTCTTTGCTTGCTTCATCTGCTCAGGAGTCACTGTTTGGGAGCTGATGACCTTTGGGTCCAAGCCTTATGATGGAATCCCTGCAAGTGAGATATCATCAATCCTGGAGAAAGGAGAGCGCCTCCCACAGCCACCCATCTGCACCATCGATGTCTACATGATCATGGTCAAGTGTGAGTGCCTGGGGGGCCATCCACACTTGTGTAGCTAGTTGGTCCTGAGTACTCAGAATGCTTTACTGTGCCTAGAGGGCATTGCTGTTCTTAGCCAAACAGCAGAGGCCTTCTGTTCCCTGAAGAAATGTCATCACATCCATAAATACCCCTTGCAAGCATTCTTTACAAAGCACTTGCTTGACTCATTGAGCAGTGTGACCTGACATTTGCCCATGTTTACAAGCAAATAAATAAAATTGAAGTCTTCTGTAAGCCATTACCTCAAAATATTCTATACTCTGAGTTGCTCAATGAAATACAGAGCTGCCCTGCATTTTGAAGCCTGTTACCAGAAAGACTGAATGTTTTGAAATGCCTAACAATGAGTAACCACATGAGGCTGATAGAATCAACATTTCTGCTTTGGATTAAACCTTTCAAACAGCAGATTCACGTGAGTCTTCTGTACTATAGCATTTGAGTAATTTGGCTGGTGCTGTTATTCTACCAGAATCATAAGTGCACTGGGCTCTGAAGGTAACATTACATGTGTGATAAGCATTTGCATAAGAAGACAGCACAGAGACTGTGACAGAGCCAAGTTGATGTAAATATTAATGCCTTTCTGAACTTCAGACCACAGAGTTAATTTATTTTCACTGCCTTGGTTTAGACTGAGGAAGCTAGGGCCCAGAGAGGTCACATGATTTGTCAAAGGTCACATAGCAGTCTGGCCTAAAATAGCTTGACATCCTGCTGATGGAAAATAAATGTGAACCCTCAAGAGACCCAAGGGTTTCCAGTTGACAGTTTTCCTCTAGTTTGCTGAATCTAGATTTAGATCATGGTGTAATCAAAAGCATCAGCATGGTTGACAAAAGTATCCTCCTAAGGAAGACACTAGCATTGCAAGGCCCTGGGTTCCATGCCTAGCACTGGGAGATAAGTAAATAAATAAATAGGAAGACAGAGGCAGACAGCCCTGCTACTTGCATGATTGATGACTGAGTGTGGACTACAATAAAGGCACCAGGGTGGGGAGGCTCCAACTTCAAGTTGTTTAAAACCTTGATATTTCTCTAAATCAAATCACATTTCAAACTTGAAAGAGTGCCAAGGGCGGGGACTTTGAGAAGCTGGACACAAAAGCACCCTGTGGTCAGAGTAGTCCGCAAGGAGCAACTGTACACCACACCGCTGCTCCATCATGGAAGGTGATACGCAAGAATGCTAACCCAATGCAGACGTAGAAAAAGTAAAGGATATTGTTGTTACTTTGTTTAAAAAAATACTGTGTTAAGATCCTTAAACAGTAATCAGTGCCAGTGTGCCAAGACTGAAAAGCCTATCACAAAAATTAGGTTTCTTCGTCATTTTATTATTTGTCTAGTAGGATTGCATCATAAATTCTTTCTTTGAGCAATGCTATCTTTAGCATTTCTCTCATGGTTCAAATTGCTCTGTTTTTCCTCATTCCTTTCTCAGGCTGGATGATAGATGCAGATAGTCGCCCCAAGTTCCGTGAGTTGATCGTTGAATTCTCCAAAATGGCCCGAGACCCCCAGCGCTACCTTGTCATTCAGGTACTAGACCCAGTCTGTACTCATTGACAGAGTCCCTTCATGAGCACCAAATGTCACTGTGCTCTGTCATGTGGCAACATGGCTTCTGTTTCAGTATGTTACGAAATTCTCTATGCACTAGGGCATCCTCAGCAAAGACGCAAACCAACTTATGAACTAAGTGAGGTCCAGTGGTGGGTCCTACCCAATCCTGTACTCTCATTCCATCTGAACTCTCCTATCCACCCATACATACCCCCCCTCAGGCTCATGTGTCATCACCAGGGCTTGATACAATAGAGAAGCAGGAGTTTGGTGTCAGGAAACCTGGCTTCAAATTCCTGACTCTGAACCATCTGCCCCATGAAACTTTATGCAGCTGATCATCTCTGTCCTTACCTAACTTGGGAATAGCGAAAGCAAGCAAACAGAGCTGTTTTAAAAATTCAGTAAAACTATAAATGCAAAATGTATCACATAGACCTTAACAGTAGTGTATACCTTCAGTAAATGCTGCAGTCACTTCCCTGTCGTCCATCCTTCCCCAGCTGTTTGCATTTTCTATGGAGGCTTTCAGACATGGGAGAATTTTTAGTGTTTCATTCCATGGTACCTGTCAGTAGTTGGGGGTCATCCATACTTCAGAGAACCTCAGGGATTGTATTAAAACCAAGTTGGCAAACATGCAAGTGCCTGACAATAGACCCTGACTTCTATCTACAGTTAGGAAGTGGAATAGCATCTCCATGATTCTTTCTAATGGTCTCAACATCTCTGCACTAGGGGGATGAAAGAATGCATTTGCCAAGCCCTACAGACTCTAACTTTTATCGTGCCCTGATGGATGAAGAAGATATGGAAGATGTCGTAGATGCTGACGAATACCTCATCCCACAGCAGGGCTTCTTCAACAGCCCTTCCACGTCTCGGACTCCCCTCTTAAGTTCTCTGGTACAAAGCTTTTCTCTCTCTCTCTCTCTCTCTCTCTCTCTCTCTCTCTCTCTCTCAAGCTGGGTCTACTAATTTGAACACATGGAGTTTTAGAGAAAATCTCATCTAGTGGATCTCATAGAGACAGGGAATTAAATTTTAACCAAACGGTGAAACCCACATCAGACTCAGTCAACTAAGTAAGTGTTCTAATTTTTTATTGCATTGCAATGACATGGTTGTAATCCTTTTGTCGTCTAACCAAGTATAGTTTTCAAAAGCAAATGATTCAAGAAAAATTTAAGCACCTTGAAATATTTTCACTCTGTGAGACCCATCTCCTGCATTCAGTGGAGACGGGTGAGAATCTACAAGTGTACGTGAGCACCTTGTCTGTTTATTTTTCAGAGTGCAACCAGCAACAATTCCACTGTAGCTTGCATTAACAGAAACGGGGTATGTATATGAATGCTTTATAAATCAAGATTAAGTAATAGTTCTGTATCACAACTTAATTATACATGGGAAATGCCAAACAGAAACCAAAGAAGTTTTATTTTTTTCCTGCAGTTCTTCCCCAGCATGATTTCCTTGACCTGTACCCTAAGGCTAGAAATTGGTTATCACATATCACAGTGTCACTCAAAGTGTGGTCCATAGAGAAGTAACATCAGAGTCATGCCTAAGGCCACCACCCCAACCACTGAATGAGGATCTCTGGGGGTGGAGTCCAGAAACCTGTGCTGAAACCAGCCTTCCAGGTGATAATGGTACATGGTTAAGGGAGAAACCTTGGCATAGACCTGCACCAGGCAGCACAGAAGTCATGACACATTTTAACCAATTAGGTGAAATAAAATATAAAATTCAGTTCATTAATGTTTGGGAGCCACAGTGGCATGTGGTTAACCATACTGAAGAATGCGGGTTACAGAGCATTCCATTCCTGCAGGAAGTTCCGTTGCACAGAACTGCTGACCAGACACTGCTACTTGCTCTGCCATCTGTAGCCCAATGGCATGGAGGCTTATCAGAAATCCACAGTCTTGGGCCCAGACCCATTAAATCTGATCATTTTTTGGGAGGCAGGGAAGAGGAGATAGAATCTTAGTCTCCCAAGTACTGGGATCACAGGAGAGTACCATCACACCCATCTAGAATCTGAATTTTAATGAGACTGCAAGTGGTGTTTATCTAGAGTGAAGTCTAAATGACATTGACTAGAGTAATGTTGCCTAATTTCCTCTCCAGCAGAGCTGTCCCATCAAGGAAGACAGCTTCCTGCAGCGGTACAGCTCAGACCCAACAGGTGCCTTGACTGAGGACAACATGGATGACATGTTCCTCCCTGTGCCTGGTGAGTACTTGCTCAGGAAATAGTCACAGCCCTCAGCCTGCCTGGCCCAATAGCAGCCTCCAGTTCTCATCCCCTGGCCCCCTACCCAGCTGTTTCCTTCCATCTGATCCAGAGGTGGAGACTACGGCAAATTTTCAGTGAAGGCCTTTGTGTTGAGTTGAAATTACATCTGGGTTTTCTGCTGCAGGACTGTTTTAGAAATGAATCTATAGATTTTTTTGGAGTTTAAAGCAAACAGCAAGGATATCCATATATGTATGTGTGTGCGTGTGAATGGTGTGTGTACTATATGTATATGAGAGATACATATGTGTTCTCTCTCCTGACTCCATTCTTATGCTATGAAACCTGTATTTTCCTAATCCAGGTTTTAGCTCTAGACATTTCCAACCTGCGTTCAGGTACATGTATGTGTACACAATACACACACACACATTCATGACCTTTAAATTTGCGAAAGATATGTGTGCCCATTGCTTCAAGAAGTACAGAAATAACATGATTTGGACTGGTGTAGTGGTTCGTGCCTATAATCACAGCTACATGGGAAGCAGAGATAGGAGGATTACATTTCAGGATCATCCCAGGAACAGTTAGAGAAACTCCATCTCAAAGAACAAGCAGGTGTGGTGATACACAACTGTAATCCCAGCTACTCAGGAGGCAGAGGTAAAAGGATTATGGTCTGAGTCTAGCCAGGGTAGAAGAATGAAACCCTATATGAAAAACAACTAAAGCGAAAAGGACTGGTGTGGGTGGCTCAAGTGGTAGAGTGAGTTTACTCTCCAGTGCGCCAAAATGAAAGGGGGAAGGAAAGAAAAGTGCAAGGAAGGAGTGGAGAGAGAACAGGATGATGCTTTGCTGACTACTTCACCTCCACTTTCTTTTCAATTTCAGAATACATAAATCAGGCTGTTCCCAGAAGACCGGCAGGCTCGGTGCAGAACCCTGTCTATCACAACCAGCCCCTGCATCCAGCACCTGGCAGAGACCCGCACTACCAAAATCCCCACAGCAAAGCAGTGGGCAACCCTGAGTATCTCAACACTACCCAGCCTACCTGTGTTGACAGCGTATTTGACAGTCCTGCCCACTGGACCCAGCAGGGAAATCACCAAATTAGCCTGGACAACCCTGACTACCAGCAGGACTTCTTTCCTAAAGACACCAAGCCAAATGGCATGTTTAAGGGTCCCACAGCTGAAAATGTAGAATACCTACGGGTAGCACCACCAAGCAGTGAGTTTACTGGAGCATGACTGTGGAGAGTAGTAGCATCAGTCATAACAATACAGACTTCAGCAACCCAGGACAATGCTTGGCAGCTACTCTACTCCCAACAGCTGTGCTTGTGCTAACTCTCAGACACCATGGGCTGGTGTTACTGAGTTAGCTCTGATCACCCCTCTTTCAGCCAGGAAGTGCCACCTCCTGGGATGCACTTTGGGAAGTTACAGGTACATTCCTTGGTCTTCAAACTGTGAAGCTTCCACAAAAAGGCATCCAGCAAGAATGTTGTCAATGAGCAGAAGTTTACCTTTTGGTGAGATATGTTTTTAAACACCATATATACGTATATATGTATATATATGTGTGTGTATATGTGTATACATATATATGGGAGATTTACTGCTTGAGGTTTTGGGATTTTTAATTGTCACTGCCAATTTTGATTTACTGGGCTCTTCCAAGGTGGAAGAAGCTTTCTTGTAGCACTTGCTCCAAGCCCAATTATGACCAAGGGCCACAAGTCTTCCAACCAATGCTTGATTCCACTGGCGCTCTGCTTCAAGATTCTTCCATTGTTAGACATCCAATTATATAAAATGTCCTGCATGTCGTAAGCAGGCCTCATTGGTACTGTATTCAATCATGGCTGGTACAATAGGGTAAGCCACTTTGTTCCTTTCTGGGCGAAGAAGAAATAGGAGGTAGAACTCTCCCTCAGAGTTACTTTTGTATGACTCTCCATGGTACTTACTTTCCACAAGAGCACCAGTATTTTCTAATTATGGGTAGTAGACTTACTTGTTTATTTTCCATTCCATTGTTTTGACACTTAATATGCTTTCTCTGTCTTGATGTCATAAAACCAGCAAAAGAAGAAAAGAGTAACTGAAATGCCATATTTGATCCATTAATGTTCAGAACAATAGTCTTTAAGCCAGAATGACAATGCAAGGATTGACACAAGAACCTAGCCTCTTGGATGAAATACATCATTTCTTTTCGGGGCATACATCATGAGACTACAAAAATGATGCCTTTGTCCCTCTATGCCCCAAATTAATTTAGACCACCCATGGAAGATAATCTTTTTATTTTACTTTTAAAGTTTTTTACTGAAAGGGTGTGTTTCCTCCTTAGTAAGCTGCCCCCAAGCCCCTCCTTGTCCTTTGTGAAAACTTTTGTAGGCCCTGAATCCACTTGGCAATAACTGGCAGCCCACAGGAGGTCTGTTGTCCAGATGCCAGACAGATAACATTATGAATGGAATTCAAGTGGCAAAAATGAAATTAGAGTTTGCAATTGATGACAATACTTTTGCAATATCTATGGATGTTCTAAGGGGCAAAATTTATCGTAAAATAATCCCCTTCTCTATAATTGGAGGACCCAGCTAGTTGGGAATCTCAGTTTTGTCTCTAATTTGTTCATCCTTGCAACCCATTTGGTAAATGGCAATCTTCAGTAAACAATGGTTTAAACACTCTTAGGCAACATCCACAGCTTCTAGTTTATCAAGGAAGAAATCCCTGGTTTTGAGAAACTCACAATTTAGCAAAAGGAGATAAGTTCATAAATACTAAACATAAAACAATATGACAAATATCAGATAGCAAATGTCAGCCAGGCACCCAGAGCACAGAGCAGGAATGGTTGGATTCTGCTTAGGGAGACCTGGAAGGTCATCAAGGAGATGCTATTACTATTGGGCCTCTAAAATGGCCAGCCTTTTAGCCATAGGAAAGTGAAAAGTGTGATCCCAACAGAGGGACCCATGACCAGAAGAGCAGCTACCATTAGTACTATGGGTATCAGGATGAGTTCCATCATCTTAACTTTCCCTTTAGGTCTGGGACCTAGGCTTGCATCATCCCCCATGCTCTCTAAATGTTTCCTCCCTCCTGGGAATTTTGGGTTGTCATCCACGAAAATGACAAGATTGAGCAACATTTCTAGAACTTGAGGTTTCCTGCCATTGTCAGAAAACCACTTTCATTATCTGTTCACCTCATAATACACAGAAAACTATTAGCCAGATACATATTCAGAACTAAGAAACAGAATGACTCACATTCTGCTATCACTTATTTGTCAAGAAGTAGATAATTGATGAGGAAGAGCAGTTGTAAGCCAAACTGTAGCAATGAAATCCTGGTATTTTTGCACTTTGAAATGCTTTCATGTAACATAATAAAATAGAAAAAAGTATTCAAGCTTGCTTTTCTTCTCCTTTGTATTCAGTTTTCCCGCATAGAATTTAGTTGTTATTAATTTTAAGATTGTGTTCCCTGAAATGTTCTCACTGTGCGTATACAGAGAGTCATGGGGGATGTGGGAGCTGCAAAGCCAGAGCCCTTGCCAGGGTTCCCAGCAGCCACATTGGGCAGAACAGGAGAAGAGCTGGGTAGGGCCTAGTATTCCCATATCACCATTTAGGGTCCACTCTCAAAGCCTGCACTCTGTCCCTTTTACTGTTCCTCATTGATAACCAGTACCTAATACCTTCTGGAGCATCTATCTGCTGGTTCTTCCTCAGTCACTTTCTAGAAGACCTTTCTCCATGAACCCAGCTTCAGATCTGGCTCTGGAAATAATTCAGGGGAAAGTATGAGTCAGGAGCTAACATTTACAATGGGCCGCAATCCTTACTACATCCTCTCACATAATCTATAAGACAGTCTTATTGTTATACCCTATGAAATTACTTATTACCTCATGATAGAAAAAGATGAATCTTTTAAACTCTAAGTATGCCATGAGTCCAGGTTACCACTGATTTTTTAAGTAGGAGTCCCATGGAGTCACCATATTATATTCTAGCTTATGATAACAAAGCCTAGGTATTCCTTCAAAGTTCTTAATGTGCTTTACAATCCTACTTCAACCCCCAAACTGCAAGACATAAAAGAACCATGGATTGCATAAGCACAAGAGGCACTGATTCTCAGGTTGGGCTGCCTGTGGGAATCTCCTGGGGCCCGACCCAAAGGATTCTGATTTGATTTTTTTCAGGTACAGCCCAGGACTTTTCAGGGCACACCCAGTACATTCTGATGTGTTCCAAAGTTTCAATAACCACTGGTGGAAAGGCTAAGAAGGGGAACCTTGACACTTACTGGTGGCTTTCTACCCATGGTCACTCACGTTAGGCCTCTGGTTGCACATATGTAGGATGAGGCCCGCCCTGTGATGGTGACATGTGCTAATTCTCACTCTCACTGCAAATGACAATTACCTGGAGGGTTTAAAAAGGTTCAAATTGAATCAGAATTCCAATGAGTCCCCCATGTGATTCTAATAGACAACCTGAATTGAATCCATCATCTCCAAGGTCTAGTTGAAGACCTTTTACAAGCCTGTCGTGAGTCTATACATGTCCAAAGTCAGGGTTGAATTAAAGAGCCGAGTATGGCGGAGATTCCCATATGCCATGGAAGGAACAATTTGTAGTCACCCATGTGCCTGAGACTTGGCCACTACTGGCTTTCTAAAATCTTCCTCAGCAGCAGTTTATCCTGAAATGGTAAAGCCCTGGGACACTGAAATTTCTAAGAACTAATTGGAAATCTCAATCTCCTCTTCCCTCCCTTCCCCACTGAATGAGCTGCTCCCTCTTCAGAGGCAGCTATTGAAATTGTCCTTAATCTCCACTTTGCATTTCTTTTCTTTTGATAAGCACCCATTTTTATTACAACACAATGATCTGTTTATAATTCCTTGCCTTGGGGCTCTAAAACCTTAACTGAACAGAAATCCCTGCCTCTTCCTGGCCACACCTGCCATATTAGAGACAAACATCTTAGTTCTATTGAGGATACATTCAGATAGAATTTTTAAGTGTAAATCTATTTTTGTAACTTTGTAGGATATCCTCTTTATGTAGCACTGAACTTGTATAGTATATTTTTAGGGAAACTCATTTTTCTACTGAAGGGAAGTTTAGAAAGACTGCAACGAATCAAAAGTTGAAATTGAAATCTTTGTTCATAAAGCTTATGTTGAAGCTAGAGAATCGTCTTCTCTCAGGTTCAGGTGCAGCTGCATTGCAGAGCTAAGCTAGGTCATTGCCACAGTGAGTAGGGGAGATATATAAAAATAGACAGGAGCACATTAGGTTAGTACTAGTCTGAAGCAGGCTCTGCTGTGTCTGTGAGGGGCAATGTCAATGGAAAGGGAATACTGTCTGTTACCACTCCTAAAGAATTAAAGGCATACCAGTCATACACTGATCATCTGCCTTGTAAATGTGAGAAAAGCAGTAATAAAGCACTTTGTTGGTTTACATATGCTAATCTGACATTAATACAAATTCTCTCATTTTTGTATTACAATTATGATACGGACTAGACATGTCTGGAGAGCCACAGTAATGTTCAGCATGCTTGGGTTACTTCATATATTCATGAGCTGTACCAATAATCTTAACAAATATAATAAGGATGACTACCCTAGAGAAGTGTTTCTCAGCCCTGGTTGCACCATAAAATTGCCTGAAAAGCTTTAAAGACTCTTGAAGACCAGCTATGTGTGGGCTTGCAATTACATACAAATCTCTAAGGTGAAACCCAGGCAGGCCCTAAGGTCCTTCCAATGTACAGTGAAGGTTCAGAACCATCAACTCAGGGATTAGCTGTAGGGGCTTGGACTTGAAATCAATTCTGCAGATGTGAGAACTCTAAGCCACGAAGATGCCAGCATCTGTCACTGGGAGTCAGAAACTGGATAGAGTCCCAGGAGAGTGGCCCAAACTCTCAAGTGGACAATGTCTAGCTAATGGATGAAAACAAAGGAAGTATCTTTTTTTGTACTTCCTAAGCTCTAAAGGTGGACGGTTAATAAAATAAAGGTAGTGAGTATTCCTGCTAGTTACACAGGCAACATCATTGCCAAGTAGCCTTTATTACCTAAGAAGAAACTCTTGACCTATCAGTTTCACTACAAAGGGCAGACTGCAAGAGGACTGATAAATACCTGGATGGCTTTTATAGAAAGAAGAATCTAAGGAGAAGAATCTTGCATTACGAAACATTTTTATACTTCTTTTCCTAAAGTATACATGTGACAAAAACTGACACAACTAGTTTTGTTTCTCTCATGTACATCTGCACAACCACAGTGTGTCCTGTAAGGGCTAAGTCTATCCTGCCTGAATTACCAGCAGAAATACTAGAACTCTATATCCCATCACCTAACAGCGAAAACAGTAAGCACATGCATATAAGATGCTTTTGCTTATTAAAAACAAACCTACTGATTTGGTTTGTCTATAAAATAATCTGTACAGTATAACCACTTGGAAATTAAAGGATCCACAAGTTCTATGACTGATATTGGAAGTGATGATCTAATTCACTAATGTCAGACAGAAGTAACTTCATGTTAGTATCACTAAAACAATAGCTTTCTAGCTTCTTTATGTGGTACATTTTAACCTGTAAAATTTTGCAGTGATATAAGCAGTATATGTACAAAATGGAAAGCAAGTTCTTTTATATGGTTTCTACTGTTGATCAAAACATGTTGATTATATATTGAGTATTAAAAAATTACATGTATATACATTGTTCATTGTTCTTTACTGCTCAGTACCTTATAATAACATTGTATCCTTTGTTAACAATGCAGTGTTGATTTTAGTGGCTTTTCCCATCTGGCTACCTGTAAATGTTTTTCCCTAAAGCATTTTCCTACCATTTATTTACTTGTTATTTTGGGATTTTAACTCAGGGCCTCATGCTAGGCAAGTGCCCTACCACTTGAGCCACTCTTCCAGTCCTTTTGCTATAATTATTTTTCAGGTGAGGTTCCACACTTTTGCCTGGGACAGTCTCAGACTACGATCCTATCTCTACCTCCCAAATAGCTGGGATTACAGGCGTGAATCACTATGCCAGGCCTTCTCTTTATTTTTTATTTAATTTTAATATATTTATTTTTGCAGTGCTGGGAATCAAACTTAGGGGTTTCCACATGCTAGGTAAATGCTCTACCACTGAATCATACCCCCTACATTAAAAAATTAATAAACTTTATTTTTAGAGCAGCTTTAGGGTCACAGCAAAACTGAGCAGAAATTACAGAGAGCTCCAGTCTCCCACTATCAAGAACCTCGTAATGGCCAGGTAACTTTTTAATGGAAAAACTTACAAGACAATTTGGAAACCACCTTTGTGTGACTGGGCTCCATTCCTCAGATTCTCCTCATATCCCATGTGATCATGGTCACATGGCTCTTCAGATACCTTGGTCTTTCCTAGACTTTTACACTCTTGACGTAGAGGTAGACACATTACAAAAGCCCAGGTTCTTTATAGAACAACTTAAATCATAAGTGAATAAGAAAAGTTTTCTCAGTCGTTTTGGCCACAGAGTTAGTTACAGAATGTGATCCTAAAAATTGAGTAAAAGAAAACCTACTGATGAAGCAAATGACATCTCTAAAGTAGAAAGAACTACTTCCAGAAATCCAGATTGGAGGATTGAGCAGTGCTGAGGGTCGGTCAATGTGGGAATGCACAAGACAGGAAGGGGCTGCATACTCGCCAGCTATCTGGAGAGAGCTCAGTGGGCACCAGAACACAGCCAGCACCTGCAGCAGACTCCCTGGCCCAATGGGCTATCCTCAGGGCTTTCAGCTGCTCTGACTTTCCAGTAGGTTCTGACTCCAGAGAATAAAGCAAGGCCTCTGGGCTATAGCTTTCCATTCACCAGCTGGTCCTCATACAATGCTCTACCTTGTTTCTTTTACACAGGAAAACCAGAGCAGGAAGCTGGGCTTTGCTGGCTCCAACCACCCTATGCCTACAGTATGGACTCTAATTGTTTCCAGGAATATTGCAGCTGTGTTTCTTTGGGATTCATTCTGGACACTAGTCGCCTACGTACAAATGTAGGGCTGAGTGTAAGCTGTGACTCCATGTGGAGGGAGGACTTCAGGTTAACAAGGTCCATAAACAATAAGCAAACCAGGAACTCCCTGGCCTTTCTTCTGGGGCTAGCACCAAGCACAGAGCCCACAGGCCTCCCTGTTTCCTTTCTGTTCACTGCTCTTCTGCCTCCTGAGCCTCTCCACCCTGGCTGCTGGGAAGGCTCTGGAAGCCTCTCAAGCACATTTGGGTTTACTAGAATGGAAGCCTTCAATTAGGGAGCTTAGCTCCATAGGAAGGCAAGTTGCA